GTTTAGGAAAACATTATTCCTTTGTTCAGCTGTTTCTGGTAATAATAATAATAAACTGAAGAAACAGTGGACCACCTAGTTATCTGCTTCAAGAAGATTGCACAGAATGACTACGAGAAACAGCAGGACAAAGTAGCAACAGTGGTGGTTTGGAATATCTGCAAGAAATATTATTTGTCTGCAAGAAGAACTGACGAGACCGCAATACAGACAAAGTAATAGAAAATAAAGAAGCTAAAGTGCTCAAAGAGTTTAGAATTCAAGTAAACACCTGCCATAAAACACCCCAAACTTAACAATTGTAGACAAAATACACCACCGTATAGTGGACATGGCAGTACATGTTGTAGACAGTAGGATAAAAGAGAAAGAACTGAAGAAATATCACAAAATAGAAAGACCTGCAAATAGAAGTGGAACAACTGTGACAAAAGAAGGCAAAGTAGTACCAACAGTAATAGGTACCTTGGGTGCAGCTGGAGCATTGACACTCACAAAAAAAAAAAAACCCAGTCAAGTGCAAAAAGCAGCATTATTTGAACAGCATACATTTTGCAACAATACTTTTAACATCATCAAACAAAATCTTCCCATCCCAGATCCTTGGAAAGGACTCGATAGATGGATAAAAACCAGTCTAAACATCTGGCTGGCTGTGCGATGAATTATAATTAGAAAAGTTTAAAGATTTCTTTGTAAGTATTTACATTTGGGCTTTATCGATTGAGATAGCAAATAGGCTTTTTTCATTAGTATGGGATGGAATCAAAAATAACACTGCGGGGCAATAATTTTTTGGGATGATTTAAAGTTTTATAAAAATAAAAAAATCAATAAGCAAATAAAGAACATTTAGAAAGACTCATTACTTTTGTTTTATAGAAAGCAAATATTTTAATTTACTTGTGAACAGACTAACAAGTTTACATTTGTATCCTGCCTGAAGAATATATCATTTCTCAGTTCATAGCAACAGCTGCTGGCAAGATCAATTAAAAGAAAAACATTCTGTCCCCATCGGCAGCAATTTCTAAAACTTGCTTCTACTTCCTGCAGCCTTGCATACTTCAGAATCTATTTCCAAGACAGAACTCTGTTTTTGCAATTTGCTTCTGGACTTAAACTGACAAGTTTTGTTTGTCTTCAAGTATAAGAATATATATATTTTTTAATTTCATCCAATAAAGCAAATTCCGATGAAGCGAAAAAAACTTATTGAGTACAGCAGGTGATCAGGTACATAAGCAATTATATTCCAGGATATACTTTATTTTTTTTCCTATAACATATGTTTCTTCTTCTTCTTGTGCCATATCCATTATCGGACGTTGGCGATCATGTTGGCCGATCCTGTTTTTATCAGCATAATATATGGTTAACTTTAAAAATCAATTTGCATGCAATGAACTGTATTAGCTATTAATCATCTTGATTTTAAAGAACCCCCTTAATTTATGTTCCTCTGATCAGACACTTCACCATTGCTGTTTCTAGCATGGTGGATAACATTGATACGTCTAAGATTCTCCCCTCACAGCTGCTTGAACTCTCCCATCCTCCAGTCAGGACAAAACTATGTTAACATAAATTGCATTGTCCCGATGGCTGATCTGTAATCTGGTACACTAATGGGGCTGGTATTGGCTCAGGACGAGCAAGGAAAGAGATTGGTGGATTCCCTGACTGTTTATCCCTCCCATCAGCAGGAAAAACAATCACCAATTGCTCTCCCAAATGTCACGGGGTGGGGTTGCTTGAATTTGTGCAGACATTTGGGATGGGGTGGGGTGGTTACTTTTGAAATAATCTGAATGTTTTTGGTTCTGTGCTGGATATTTGTCCCTTGGGCTATTTCTGAATATAGATAAATAGATACATAGGTTAAGGGCTCTTCTGAAAGACTGCTAGACCCTCCTCTATTCTATGGGAAGCAGCCTTCGGGATATGCAAAATGATGTAGAATTAGGTTGTGGAATTTTTGCTGAAAAAAATAAAAAAATGAACTGACGATCGATGGATTTGATAATTAGGGTAGATTATGGAAAGAAGCAAATTATAATGTAACCTTAAGTGTGTGTGTGTGAGTATAAATGTACTTATAACTGCTCTTAAGAAGATTGAAAGCTGCTTTGTTACTATTTATTACTATACTTTACTTTTTCCTTTTTTTCTTTTTCTTTCTCTTCTATTTCTTTTTCTTTATTTCTTTTTCACTTTCTCATTATTTTTCCCTTTTTTTTCTCATCTTCAGTCCAAAATTTATTTTGTTTTATTCTGTTGAAAACTTTTTTTAATAAAAATTATTTAAAAAACCCCAAAATGGTGTAGAATTAGACAAAATACTCTCTGATAGGTAATAAAAACCGTAAGGAGTATTTTCAGGCAAAAATCCTTGTGGACAGAAACAACTAAAACCTAGAATGTACTTCGATGGGATAAGTCAGAGAAGTTGGTTCTCTTTTCCAATTTAAATCAATTTCTTATGCAGCACAAAACCAGCTGTCTGAAGAAAAAAAGCTGCCAATTAAATTACAGGCCCAGCATAATTTCAAAAGTGTGCTAAACCTTTATTTAAAAACAGATCTAATATGAGTTAGAACAGGGGTAGGCAACCTTGGCTCTTTTATGACTCGTGGACTTCAACTCCCAGAATTCCTGAGCCAGCCATGCTGGCTCAGGAATTCTGGGAGTTGAAGTCCACGAGTCATAAAAGAGCCAAGGTTGCCTAGCCCTGAGTTAGAAGAATGCTACATCCCTGCATATAAGAAGCCACATAATGCCTTACGAGTATTTTTTGAAGTGCTGATCGGGCATTATTTGAGTAGATGTCTCTATAGACACGACATGTCTGGCCTTTTGTATTGCTCAATTTGAAATGGCCATGGAAGACAAAGTCCTGGAGAAGAAGAGGGAATGCCCATTGTATCATCACCAACACTGCCAGTGGAAATTATCTCCATAGAGATTCTCAATCATCCAGGTCATGGTTGTTCCAAAGGTGCTTTTCCAAAAGGCAACTGGACTTACTTATTTCTTTTCCTTGAAAATGTAGCGCTTCTAATCTTGGATGAGAAGTGAAACCTTTTCAAGAAAAAAACACCAAATAAATCCAGTTGCCTTTTGGAAAAGCACCTTTGGGACAGCGAAAGTGATTGTTGTTCTAATAGACTTGTTCAACTCATCATATATAAATTTTAATAAAGTATAGTTATTTTTTTCTGAATGCTTATTCTTGTGGTATGCTGCCCAGAACACATTGAGTTGGGCAGCTTTCTAAATGCTTGCAATGAATGAATGAATGAATGAATGAGATCACAGCAAACTTTATGTCTGAAGCAGGAAAATAATTATGTAAAACATAGTAATAAAAATAGCAATAAAATAGCAAAATGAAAATAATAAAATGAAAAGAATTGCCAGGGGGTGAGATGACATGATGTCATTTGTATTCTTAAAATGCGGAGAGGTTATCCTCCTGCTGTGGTTAGTAGGATGTGAAGATGAGCCTTAATCAGATCAGTGTGATCACAGCTATTATGTCAGATACCTTGTCTAATACAATATTTGTTTTGCTCATCGTTAGACCAAGGTAGATTTCTTTTTCTGACAAAATGTGGCTATGTGGAAAGCTGCTGTCTGGTTCTAAACTACACCTAGTCAGTTACTCCCTTTCTTTTCGATCCCCGTGTTTGCCATGGTTTTATCTTTCTCCACAACAGTCCAATATTTTGCACTTCCTGAGCTTGTTCAGTTTTATTGAGTTGTTTTGGGTTTTAATGAAATTAAATTAAGTTTAAGTGAATATCATTAATGTCTACGTAATAGTATTCTCATAAACTGGCTGATATCTATTCCTTTTGTATGGGTACGAGAGAATGTCACCTTCTGATGAGACAGTGATGGCGCACAGGAGCCCTGGTGGTGCCGTGGTTGAAGTGCAGTATTGGAGGCAAACTCTGCTCATAGCCTGCAGCTCAATCCTGGCAGGGCTCAAGATTAATTCAGTCTTCCATCCTTCTAAGGTCTGTAAAATGAGGACCCAGACTGTTGGGGGCAATATGCAGATAATGCTTACATTGTAAACTATCCAGAGAATGCTGTAAAGTGTTATGGGGTGGTACATAAGCCTAAATGCTAATGCTAAATGCTGTTGCTTTCTTTAGAAACCTTTTCATCTGCTCCCTCCTTCTTTAAAACTGTGAAATCTGTAGGGCTCCACCTTTACTAGATTTCAAGAAAGTTATTAAAACCTGCCTTTTCCATCAGAACCTGGTGATAGGTGTGTTGTGAAGTAATCCCACTAGGAACGTAGGATATAGATGTTTGTTTACGCTATAGATATTTGTTCCTGGCACAGAATTATGGATTATTGATTGTTATGTGTATGGTAAATTTAATTTTATAGAACAGGATATGTAACCTTCTTAAGGTTTGGTTATATGGGAGTATTATAGAAGCCCAGCAAAATAATGAAATAAACCTATGAACTTTGAGTTTCCGGTATTGTGATAGTTTCGGACAAGAGATACATCAAATTGTATAGCTTTACAAACATCCAGGAGAAAATGGACTCTTGCTTTGGTCCAGCAAGAGAGGGAGGCTTTAAAAAGGTAAGAAGATCTCCAGATGAACGCACTCTTACACGATGCCAAAGCTCAACATTTTTTATTGGCCTGAGACCAAGCTATTATTTTAGAAAGGCATTGAGGCATTGTGTACTCCCCACTGTTTGTTCAAAAGGCATTCCAAGGGGATTTGGGCTCTCTTGTTTCATGAGCCTCCACATTGTTGATGCTGACTGACGTTGAAGCACACCAGCTGGTCATGTCCATCACTGCAGCCAAGTCGGAGGATTCCTGCTTATACTTAGAACCCATGAGTCAGTGTCCGAGCAGAACTTTGCAACAAACCATGCTTTAAAACTAAGCAACCAAGAAGAAAAATGCCTATCTTTGGCTAAAGGGGACAAATACTCTCCCTCAACCGTCTCTGGATAAATCATGAAAGATTGGCTCAACATTCCTCTTATACAGATCTTCACCCTGGCAGCCTTCAGCTTGACAGAGAAGCTCCCTAAAGGTAGGTGTCAATAACGGGTCATCTCTTTGCTTTGCCACTGGTTATATACATTATTTTTGATCCTGTAGCAGCCCAGGCTCTGGGATAAATATATAAGCTCCTGGGATTCCTATTGATAAGCTCATTTTGTCTGTGAGTGCATCTGGAATTGTCTTTGGGGAATCACCATGGAAAAAGAGGAACTGAGGGACTGAACTCGTCTTGTTTGTACATACCGTATCCTTGCTAATGAGCAAGGAATTTCCCTATGTAGGTTTTTTGTTTATAGTATGTATCAAAAACAGTTTTTCAAATATAAATAGCCAGCAATGTTGAATGTTTATTTGGGAATAAATCCACTTAACACAGTTGGGACTTCTAAGTAAATATGTATAGATACAGAGATGCTTGAGGAATTTGAGTGAGGCAGATGCTTGTACGAAGTGACATAGTATATATCTCCTTGATTAATGTTCAGATTAGAATTTTGAGGATAGCTCTCTGCATTGTTGCTTGCAAGGAAGGCCCATTAAGGTCATGTTGCTGGCAACCAGGTGATTACAGCAAGCTCCTCTACAGATCAACTAAACCGGAAGTCTTGCTGGAATTTACTCCCAAATAAATTGGTATCCAGATTGCAGTTGAAATGATCAGTTGGCGTCTCCATTTCTTAAAAACTTTGCTGCTTTTTTCAACACTCAACCTACATCATAAATTGTATCTGGCCAATAAGTATGTCCAGAAATGTTTGCTGTAAGAAAAAAGAAGCAAACTGAAATTACTTTTATGGATTTTTTTTAAAGAACTTAAATACAGAATACGATGGAGCATATTTAATAACAGAATAACAGAGTCAGAAAGGACCTTGGACTTCTTCTAGTTCGGGGTCCCCAATCTCCAGTCGGTGGACCGGCACCGGTCCACAGAATAGCAGAAATTGGATTGTGCAAACAAGTGAAGCCCCATCCGTGGGATGTAGGCAGCACGCGAAACCACGTCCCCTCCAGTCCGTGGAAAAACCTCTCTCCATGGAACCAGTCCTAGTGCCCAAAGGGTTGGGGGCCGCTGTTCTAGTCTAACCCCCTGCTCAAGCAGGAAACCCTATAACATTTGCAGGACAAAATGATAATAACTCAGAAATATATACTTCTTCTCTGTTGTATGTAGGGACTTAGATGAAAAAAACATTCTCATTGTCTTTATATAGATTTAACAGTCACAGGTACAAAGATTGATTACAGCAATAGCAGCGATTAAACGATGAATTCCATCTGATTTCAATGTTTGTTTGTAAGAGATTTAAGGAGGCTGAAATATGAGTGATGATTAAGTACACAGTGCTAAATTCTTTGTTTGCTCTGCCTTCTATCAAACCGCTTTTCCTCTCATCAAATAGAAATTTAGGAATCTTGTATATATATTTGCTCTATAGTTTGAAACTTGAAATTTTGACTTACTGTGGACCAGAAAGGAAAATCTTCAAATCAGACCAGAGTGGTTTTCACTACTAGGAGCTGCAGTCTCATGAGAGTACTTACAAAGGAAGAGGGATACGAGAATAGTAGCATTTTGCAATATTGTGAATTTTGGGGGATTCTCATAACATGCCCATTGGTATGTGTCAAAATGAATACCAAATGCCAGGGACAACAGTCAATATCTTTTTAAAAATTGGTTTTTTTTTCCTTTTGGCAATTGTGTGTAGTATGTCATTTTCCACCAAGAACAAAATAATTTATAAATTCTTTGGATATCTATCAAACAGAATTATGTGATACGAAAACATTCCCATGCATTTTTAAGGCCATAACCAGAGTTACATTTATCTCTGCTAATGTAATACGTAATATATACAAAACTTCCAGGGATAAAGAAATTAGGTACGTGCAGTAGAATTAAAGTTCCATGCTTATATAAATATTGAAGAAAGTTGAAAGGCATTTCTTGTATCTTTTCAAACAGTTTATGTTAAGGGAGGTGATCATTACTTTGCTTGGCACTATCAAGTTTTTTGGCTGTGTCAGACTACATAGATAGCCTCCACTCGGATCTATAGTTGGTCATTGTAACATAGCAAACTATGATTTTTATCATCTGTCATGAAGCCAAATTACACTGAAATGTGATTCAGTGATTCATCCTGATCTCAATCTTTGCTATTAGAAAAATGGTGTTCCTGAGAAGCAATCATTTGTTCAGAATTTTATTTACTTACATAATTTGTATCCTGCCTTCCAAGCCATAAAGGGTTCAAAATAGCTTTAATTTTTTAAAATAAAAAATAACAGAAATAGTTACAACCTTTAAAATAGACTTTGAAACCATTGGAGAAATGAATTCAAATGGAAAAGGCGTAGCTACAAAAGGAGGATCTGGATTCCTTTCCCAGAAGAGAAAGAACTGTGAAAGAGTGTGATCCCCACTTTTCATATCTGGGGAACCACGTAGAAGGCCTGCCTTTCATATCTGCAGGACCTGGTCTCAGAAAATGATGGCATCTTTGAAAACCCCTTTTAATATCCAGAGATTACAATGATCTGAAATAGATTGTGTTTATTAAGATGCTTGGAATATTCAGAAATACTATACAAAGTGGAGAATCTTTGCCATGCTTCAGAATGAAAGAATAAGATCATGCACGAATAAATGCATTTATTTGAATAGCTTTGCTCTATATCTTGACTATTTTCCAGTCAAGTGGAATTGGTTTTGGATTTGTAAACATTTGCTTGGTCAAGCTGCAGGATCTAATGTGAAATTTATTCACTTTCTTATGCTGTCTTTTTTGGTCACAGCACCAATCATCACTACTTCTCTTGAAACAGTGGATGCATTGGTTGAAGAGGCAGCCACCTTTGTGTGTGTCGTAAAGTCTTTCCCCCAGGCAGAGATTACCTGGACACGCAATAACATTCCTATCAGGTATGAATTCAATGTACAAGAGACCACAGGCTGTGAGTATTCTCAAAAAAACATCAGTATTGGTCTCTACCATATTATTACATCCCATCTTATTTCTATTCACCAGTGCAGCATTTTATAAAGTGAATTCATGCATTATTTTTATAGGTGTATGATAAATATAAAACATATAATGGTATTTGGGAATGACATGGGAAGACAGGAGGAACAGCTGCAGACTAGACAATAGTCAGATAAGAAGCTTAGCTTGCAGAAATAATGTGGGCATGGCAAACATCTCAGAAGGGCCCCACCTTCTAAGACCAGTTATTTGGACTGTAAAGGCCGGACTGGGTTGGGGGGGAGGGAGAAATGTACATTCAGACTTGCAATTTTAAATAATGATGTATCTTAATATGTTCTCAGGTTTTTTGATACTAGATATGCCATACGAGAAAATGGGCAACTCCTAACTATTTTGAGTGTGGAAGACAGTGATGATGGGATATATTGTTGCACCGCAAACAACGGTGTAGGAATAGAAGCAGAAAGCTGTGGGGCATTACAAGTGAAAATGAGTAAGTATACCTATCCTTTTACGGAAGTAAAAGTCACTTTGAAGTTCAAGTGAGCTAGAAAACAAGGCAATATTTTATTTGAGCATTAATATTTTTATTTTGAATGAGTTTAAATTTAAGCAATGTACAAGCAAAGGAATAAATTATCAATACATATAACCCAATATCAACAGTAAAATGATACTGTCATGGATCCACCCCCGGACCTCTCTCCCAATGTGAATTCAGAGGAGGAGGATAAGTTTAAGTTGGCAACATCCCCATGGTCATGTGATCAAAATTCAGACACTTGGCAACTGACTCATATTTATGACGGTTGCAGTGTCCCAGGGTCATGTGATCACGTTTTGTAACCTGACAAGCAAAGTCAATGGGGAAGCCAGATTCACTTAACAGCCATATTATTAACTTAACAACTGCAGAGAATCATTTAATAATTATGGTAAGAAAGGTTGTAAAATGGAACAAAATTTACTTAAGAACTGTCTTACTTAGCAACAGAAATTTTGGGCTTCATTGTAGTTGTAAGCTGAGGAATGCCTTCCATTTACGACCACATCTGAATATCCATCACTGCAGTCATAAATCAAGTTGGACCTGATTTTGCGACAATTTTTATGTTAGTCATTAACCAAATCACACAGTTGTTAAGCAAATCACACCATCATTAAGTAAACCCAGTTTTCCTAATGGGCTTTTTTTGCTGAAAATAGTGATCACAAAACCTGATCACCTGAATGCAGGACACTGCATCCGATCTTAAATGTGAGCTAGTTGCCAACCCCCAGATTGCAATCACGTGACCACAGAGGTGGTATGACAGTTGTAAGTGCCAGTACAGGTTGTAAGTCACTTTTTCTACCTAGGCCATTGTAACTTTGAACTATTGTTAAACAAACATTTGTAAATAGAACACTACAGTACTTGTTATAAAGCAATTTATCTAATTTATCTAATCCTAACTCTACTGAATTTCAGTTGGTATCAAGTACCGGCTACTCATGAAGTTTTCCCAGCTTCATAAAGATCCTAAAAAAAAGAATTACATATAAATCTCAGGAGATCAGATTCCAAGCATAGCTCAATGAAGGCATTGATACCGTAGAGTAGGAGGAGCTAGATGGGAGAAAGTTCTGAAATGTAAGGTGGCCATTCTGAAACAAAAAAAACCTAGCAGAACCTGATTGCACGTTTTCTCTGAAAACAGAAAAATATGAATTGTAATCATGTTTTTCAATATATGGCCCAGAAGATCAATATTAGCAGTTTAAACTGGGACCGCTTCTGAAGTTTAGGCAACGTAAAAATTGGCTTCAGAGCAAGATTTAAACACTCTCGTTAAAATTTTAGAAAGAAAAATATCAAGTTTTATTTTGCTGTTCTACCAACATGCTTTTATTTGTGAAATCAATGCTAGCTTAAGTTTTTTGAGCAGTGGCAATATTAATGTTTTCCTCTCACCGGCCCATAAGTTGCAATCTTAGCTAACTTTTCCTGAATTTCCATGATCCCCCTACAACTACATATATTTTCCCTAAACATGGAGATAGTGTGAGTTCCCTGCTTCTACACTCCTTTGAAAAATCTTCCCTCCATCTCTTTATAGGCGCTTGGAAGATAGCAAGCTCTGTTGCTTTTCCATTGCTTTCTTAGAAGAGAGTATGAAAGTTGATGACAAAAATGGACCCATCATCTTGTAATAATATAATATGAGTTTAGCACAAGGGTGTCCAAACTTGGCAACTTTAAAACTTGTGGACTTCAACATGCTGGCTGGGGAATTCTGGGAGTTGAAGTCTACAAGTCTTAAAGTTGCTAAGGTTGGATACCCCTGTGCTAAAAATATGCTTTTTAGCATATTTGACTCTAGATTCTAGACTCCATTTCATTTTGATCTTTAAAATTGTAGAACCGAAAATAACCCGTCCACCTTCAAATCTGAAAATCATTGAAGGATTAAAGGCTGTTTTCCCATGCACTACAATGGGAAATCCCAAGCCTTCAGTTTCCTGGATCAAAGGAGAAAACGTGATAAAGGTGAGTACTGTATGTATTTAATTGCAACCTGCATCTTTTTGCAGAACTGGTCAGAGGAAAAATTATTGCATTAGTTGTTATTTCATAGAGAGGATGAGTAATTAAGGTACTAGACCACAAACCTAGAGTCTGTGAATTCTAGTCCAACCTTAGATGTGAAAACTGAGTGGGTGACTTTGATCCAGTTACTGCCTGTCAGTCCAAATCATTTTACTAAGGTGGCTGTTGTGGGGAAACTGGGAAGGACCATTATGTAAGCTGCCTCAAATTATACAAATGAAATAGGAATATAAATCAAATGAATAAATATATCCATCTGGGTCATAAGATATATTCTACCTCATTTCATCTGAAGCTTTATATTTTGTGGCAGGAAAATTCTCGGATTGCTATTCTTGAATCTGGCAGTTTAAGGATTCATAATGTGCAGAAGGAAGATGGTGGACATTACCGCTGTGTGGCAAAGAATAGTCTCGGGACAGCCTACTCTAAACCTGTAATTCTGGAAGTGGAAGGTGAGTGATTCATTTGGTCATGTGATCACTCAAAATACAGAATCTGCATTCATCTGATATCCGTACTGCAAATATATTTTTGCGAAGCGTTCAGGACAAAAATGGAAGTCTTTGAAACCCAGAGATCAGCTTTGAATGTATGAGTGAATAGAAACTAACAAGCAAATCTAATCAATGAGATTAATCTAATCAATCTAATGGCCTTCTTACCAAAGGTTTGTTCATCTGTCTGCAAGGAATTCATGTTGATGGCCAGTTCTGAAAAAATATACTTCTGAAAGAAATACATTTGGGAATTTATCTTATAACATTGCTTCCCATGGGATAATATTTATGGCTTTTCCAAGAATATTTGCCTACACATATGTGTGTGAGGTAATATATTTGGATAAATATTATACATTATTCTGAATGACAGGGCTGATGTCAGCTCTTGGTTTGTTCTAGTTCTGCTTCCAGGAATACTTAGATTTGTCTTTCTTAACTGGATGACTTCCAGAGATGTTGGATTTTAACTCCGGAAGTCTCAGCCAGCATGGCCATCAGTCATGCTGCAAGGAAGTTTTAGTCCATCATATCAGAAAGGCTTTAGCTCAGCAAAGGATGGCTTAAATCTTCCAACCAGCTATATTAATAATGTACCTCACGAATGACTTATCCACAATAGAAATGGGTATCACTAGCAGCATTGTATACATTGTATGGAACCATGCAATCTAAAACATAGTACAGAACCTCAGAGTCTGAAGATTTAGATATAACTGAGAAAAGCACAAGAAGAAGCATAGTACGACAACAACTGTGCTATTTAGGCATAAACTGTAAGTTGCCTGGAGTTGCCTCTGCAAGATGGGTGGCATAGAAGTCTAATAAATAAATAAAAAACTAGGTCCACACCAGCAGCTTTCAAACAACAGGATCTGGATTCTTCTCTGTTGAGTCTGTATGGACCTTTGTACACCAAAGCCAGGTATAAAATGATGAAATGCTCGGCTTGTTTCTAGCACCCTGATAGAGTTTATTTTGGGTGTAACTCTTGTGACTTAAAATGTATAAAGTTTCCCAGTGCTCCTTCCTTTTCTATTATTTACTTCCATAGACAGGATTATTGTTTTGGTTATTCCCGATGCATCCATTTATCCAGCAGAGTAAAACTAAGATCTCATTTTACTGAAAAGAACTTACTAGTACTTTTAGGCAAAATGGGTACAGCTGGAGCACCGTCCTTGGACTCTTCTATTTGTACAATCTCCTTCTGATCCGTGCTTTTTTTTTTTAAACAAATGAATTTTGTGCACTCAGCAGTTACTATGCAGTAATGCAGTCTCCTGTTCCGAATCCAAATGAGACTTCAGGTCTTCTCCTGTAATAGTTCCTATTTCAGATCTTTCCAGCAATACAGCCTGGAGAATTAAAGAGAAGGAAATTTATCTAAAGGCCACTGCTACATGATGAATAATAGCAACTGGGCTGAGTTTGTTTTTCTTAGCCAATAACTTTCAGGAGAGTTTTATTATAAACTTTTGTGGATTATCTTTGGTTCTTATTTATTTGAAGTCACTGGGGAAAAGCCATTAAAAAAAAAACTTTTAAGGCATCTTAGATTTAGTAGGACATGATTTTTCCTGAACTTTAGTCTATTTTATCTGATGCACAGATTCATTGGATGCACTTAAGAACTAAGCCAACAGGTAAGACATAACTTGAATCTACATTTGAGCTCCTTAAATGCATCATATAAGATCTAGCTTTAGCATCAAAAGAGCTTCCTTATACACTTCCTAGGGAAGGTAATTTGAACAGATCTTATCCTTGCATGAACTTGCCTTTTGGAATTTGCTGCGATATATTTTTCATATGTGGAAAATGAGTCATTTAGTACAGCAGATTTATATAGACACCGGACATTAACTGTTTTAGTGTTATTTATATTCCCCATTCTCACCACAGCCCCAAGTTAGAACATGTAGATCGTACTGTTTCTGCAGATTTCTTTTGGATTCACCCATGGAAAACATATCTCATATAAACTCTTTTTAACATTGACAAAGGAATTTTGAAAGCCTAGATAGTTAACAGAGGAATTTTCATTTTAAAAGGAATTCAAGCAGTCCATAAGGAAGGAGGGGCAGGCTGGACCTTAGAGGTTATCTACTCAGAAAAGTGTGCACCTTATTAGTCTTTGCAAGTCAGGAAGGGTTAAATAAACTCTGAGAATAAAACCCCAATATATCTTTTGTTGTTTTTCTTTCAAGACTAGAAGCAATTCTTCTTTTCCAGAAATATTTCCACAGATATAGCAAATGTTTCTGTTATTAGGGCTCATAATTCAGTTTAGAATTCGGCTTTCTGGGGTGATTGACACAAATAGTGATTAAGTATCCTTGTATAAAAAATTAAGTATTCAAAGAAATAATAAACTAAGGGAGATGAGCAATTTAAAAATAGGAAAAATGAATGAATGAATGAATGAATGAATGAATGAATGAATGAATGAATGAATGAATGAATGAATGAATGAATGCAGAAGTGAGATTTTGAGAAGAGCATTTGAGTTTCCGTGATACCAAACATTGTTTTCTTTCTAGTGTGGGGTAGATACAATTCTCTCTATAGAGGACCAACAATGATGGGAAATACTTTTGTTTTATTTTTTAAAGAACCTAAATCCAACATTGAACTCTTAGCTCAATGCTTGGGGTGTTTTTTGGAGTTCAGAAACTTCTGGGTGCTTTGGATTGGATCCATTTTCAACTATTTTGTGAGTGTGGGAAACTGCAAATTGTGAATATTTCACCAATAGCAGATCTCAGTTTACTAATGTTTTTGCTTTTTTTTTCCATTTAGTTTTTGCTCGAATTCTGAAGGCTCCTGAATCCTATAATGTCAGCTTTGGCTCTGTGGTAACTCTGCAGTGTGTAGCAACAGGCATCCCAACTCCCACCATAACATGGCTTGAAAATGGAAAAGCTGTAAGTATCTCTGCAATTCCTAAATTCTGATGATTAATCCTTTAACCAAATTCAGTTGGGCTTTGAAACAGGGTGAAACCAGCAGAGAAAAGTTGGAGGCTCTTGCAAAGCAGAGATGCAATATGGAAATGCAATTCACTATTCTTTCTGATGTGGCTGGACTTAATAATTTGGAATTTGATTTGAGTAACAAACTTCTCATGTGCAAACACCTCCATTTTGTCTCCCCACTTTGCTTATTCAGTACAGCTTTCCTGTATACGGTATACAGTATTTGGCATGTTGGAAAATGTGTTTAAGATAACTACAATAGCAGTCTTTGACAATAGCCCTTAACATCAGTTATTCTAGTTGCACAGCTCACTGAGGAAGATTGAGCAAATTTTGGCTGTCCTTGGCTAAATTCAGTGCTGTATAGCATATTGGATGGTATATTGTTTACATGGGAAAAGGCCAAGATTATGACATTTTGGCATCTCTAGGTAAGAATGAGAAAGGGTGTTTGATACTCTAAAGATCCTCTACAATCTCCAGAATTCTAGAGTTTTGCAACTTATACTGGTTTAGAAAACCCTGCTATCATAGATGCTTGGTACAAGCCGCAATGGTATCACATGTGTCATGAGATGACACAGTTGATATGAATTATTTGATCCAGTTGCATGAAGTAACTGACATAAATTACACAATTTGCATGGCAATGCCCTGATGCATGCCACCTTCCTCTCTGACCATGGTTGCCCGTGATTGCTGTGGACTTTTGGCTAACGGATACCTTTCTTGATGTCGCTGGGCTCTGACTTGGCTCTTATTATGACTTTGTTTATTTTTGGTAGGTCCTGTAAACACTACCAGTGCAATTATATATGAAGTAATGAGTTTGTTGTCTTCTATAAATGTAATATATGATTGGAGATTCAGGGCTCCAATTTCCAATCTTTGTATCATCCTTTTAAGCCTTGCCTATGGATAGAGGTTTATTTTGTAAGGTGTGTAGTTTCTTGGTCCCACCATGATTCTTGCTGTTATCAAGGTGCATATTTACCAGCGGACCCCAATCTTTTGGGCGCCAGGGACCAGTTCCATGGAGAGAAGTTTTTCTGCAGATGGGGGTGTGTGGTTTTGGGTGTTGCCTGGATCTCAGGCGTGTGTGGATGTGGCTCCGCTCACTTACATGGCCCAGTTCCTGGAGGGCCACGGACTGGTGCTGGTCTGCTGCCTGGGGTTTAGGGACTCCTGCCAGATACTATATGTTGCATGATGCCACATTATGTCTCAGATGCACTTGATTGATAAAAGTCGAAGCAAGAATCTGTATAGCTTTTTAAAATATCTGGCTAAAGCTTAATTTTTTCCCGCAAAGCCTTGCTCCATTAATCCTCCAGGACAAATTTTCCCAGTGGTGGGATTCAGCCAGTTCGCACCAGTTCGGCAGAACCGGTAGCTAATTTTTGTTGTCCAGGCCCAGAATGGACTTCCAGAAGCGGCATCCACACAGAGAACCGCTTGTTCACATATTTGAATCCCACCACTGAATTTTCCTCATCATGGATCAAGGTAGTCAAGTTCAACCTTGCCAAATTAGGCTTCTCTCCAGCCTCAATACTTAAAGCAGACTGCGACCAAGCAAAACAAACCTTGCGACAAAGGGTAGAGGACATTGAGAGACAAGCGGACTTAGGGATAGCTCCGTTGTTTCTGGCTCCAGACTCTATTAGATATGTTGTTACTCCCACCACTTATCTTAGCCAGTTGGAGTCAGCAAACCACCAGAAAGTATTTTTGCTCGCACGGTGCCATGCGCTTACATCGGCCGTCTTGTACGGCAAGTTTAAAAAGATACCATTGACTGAAAGACTCTGCTCCTATGGCTCAGGAGAGGTGGAGACCGTGGACACATACTCCTTTGATGCTCTTTCTATAGAGATATTCGAAAAAACCATATCCTTCCAATAATCGATAGGTATCCTGGCTGTTCTGACACTACATATCTCCATTAGCTGCTTAAGGACAAAGAGGCTATGATTACGGCACAGGTGGCTAGATTCTATGCAGCAGCATTGGGGATTCGTCGGAAACATAAATAAGATAAATATTATTTTTAGATCTTTTTAATAATTTTTTTATTTTAAAATTAATGTTATATGTGTTCTTATTCATCATTAGATCATGCTCAGTGCATGTATGTATGTATGTATGTATGTATCTATGTATGTAGCCTTCAATTGGATATTTTATTGTTTCTGGCCATATGGCTGTAATAAATGGATTTGATTTGATTTCATTTATTTGGGCACTGAAAAACTGGGAAGCTACAGGATTATAAAGCAATGTGTGTGTATGTGAACAAAACCCAAATATTGCACATTTTTTATCAATATGTATATTACAAATTGTTCATTTTAGCCTACATGGGCTCTCCTACTTAAATTAAACACAATAACTTTTGAAGAACAATTAAGCTAACAAAAAGGATGAAATTTGCCCCTGGGTAAGATAGATGCCATGAATCTTATGTGTAAATATATATTATTTTTACTTCAGGTGCTCATACATGAGTGCCATTTATTGTATAGGCCAAAAGGCATCACCTCTGTACAACTGGACACAAACTTGGGAAAACCCTGATGTTTGCGAACAGAAACACAATCTCACCTGCACATCCAAAATGCCAAAGGTGAAGAACGAAGGACTTCCCACCCAGAATTCTGATAAGACCTGATTGTGTTCAGTATCCACAGACTTCAGTTTCTGGATGGCTTTTAATTTTGAAATGCCCATGATCTTCTAGTTCAGTTTATTTTTATTAGTGAATTTAAAACATTAATCTATGTCCACAGGAAAACGTATGAATTTCACATAATGGATGAACCAGGTCAGTCAGTTGCAGTTCAGTACTGCAACTAAGTAACTTGGTTCACTCTTCCTGTGAAATTATGGTTTACTTGAACTTGGATTATTGTGTAAACCACAATACTGGGATGGTTTGGCACCATATGCTAAGCCACAAGCAACCAAATCATGTTGCAGTTTTGCATAATAAGTGAGTGCTAACTCTGAAAAAATGGCAGTCTCTTACAAAGTGTTTGCCCTAACACTGTCAAACACCTTGAATTACTTATAGAATTATTATTAGATAATAATTCTAATAATTAAATAATCATTATCTTTTTCATGGATTTCTAATGGTTCTTGGACTATGAGTCATGGGATTTCTGCAAACAGTTGCAAAGTGCAGCCTGACAGTCTCCAAATTCAAACAGAAAAACTGTCATCTTAGAAAAGCTAAAAATACAGTTTTTTAACAGTGTGCAACCATTTTTTCATTGGTTTCCATAAAGCAAATGGCAAGCTGCAATATCTAACTCCCTTTCAAGCTGTTTTAAAATCAGCTGTGCCAGGGATTCCTTTACCTAAGGCAGACTTGATGAGAGATTGCCCATAAACTGAAACTGTTTGCAATCTTCCCTAACTTATTTTCCAACGCTCTGTGAGTTCATTCAGTGAACGTGGCAAGGAGAGCTTTCTGAGCTGTGTGGTCCAGGCAGAATGAACTGTTCTGACTCACCCTTCAGATTCTCATATTTCTTCTAATAAAAAGCCTTTACCCAGAGCAGAGTATCATAAACATATCAACTTTCTTCAAGTCCTAGAAGCAGCCTTGTTACTGGATTCAAAAAACCAAAACGAAATTTAAAGAGGAGAAAATAGAAAGAGTTGCAGTAAACTTATTGAGCAATGAAGCTTAATGAGGCCACATGCTATTTTAATTGATAAAGCTTCTATCTTCATGTAGGATCCCAAAAAACCCCTCTATGTAACGTTTAACGTAAACATTTAAATATTTGGGAAAAAGTTCAGGCTAAGACCCAGAACCTGAAGCATAATCCTGAATAGACTTTGTGTGAACCATCAGACTGTGTGGCAAGTATATGTTTATTGTGTTGTGCCAATTCAGAAAATGGAGTTAATTGAGTAACTCATGCGTAAGCTAATTGTGGCTAACCAAGTCTATTTATTTTGGTTTATTTAGCTTACAGTACCTGCACAGCTATATCAGTTTTACAGGACTGGGCTATGTATGTGAGCCAACCAATAAAAAAGGCATATATAATTTTAAAAATTGCAAAACTCCCCAATAAAGATAGATAGATGCACTCCCACATACTCTAAAAATCTAAAAGCCTACTGAAATAAAATCCTCCTTCCTCCCTTGTCTCCCTAGTATAAAAATACACATTTGCTCAGCTGCAAGTGTATGAATAGTCTCTTTGCAGAGATATCTATTAATTCCATGTGGGAAAGCAGTTTCGCTTGGGAATATTATTTAATCTGATGTGTTACCTCAGTCATTACAGCACCTGGATGAACTGAAGGAAAACTGAGTTCATGCCTTGAGGAAATTACTTCTACACTCCAGCAGGAATGGTTTTGGCACTGTTAAATCCAAAAATGATTTCTGCAGGAAGATATTCAATGATTACATATTTTATTCAGAATGAAGTGAAATGTTTCAGCAAAAATGGAAAAAGCAACTCAATCACCTTGGGATTTATTTAACTGACATAATAGGCATTTTTTTCATGACTTTACTTTTGATATTTTTTTTTTAAATTTTAGCATGGGGGGCATATTAATGTAGGAATTACAATACTCTAATATGTAATTAAAGGAGTGTGTGTGTGTGCAGATATTCATGCCAGTCAGAGTAAATCATTGAACAGAAGTGCTAAATTATTAGCCCTTTTACATCTCTATTCTTATTCAATCAAGTATTGGGGGAAATGACATTTTTAGGGAAAATATTTTCATATTAGTTCATTTATTACACATTCAACACCATCAAACATTTTAAGTTTAAAGCTTTATGTTTAATCTTAAAAGCAACATTATCTCTTGGCTCCACTGCATCTAGAAAAAGGTACAAATTTCAGACAAATTAAATCTTTTGTGATTCTGTAAGGGTTAGGACGAAGCTAAGCAACTTGTTATTCTTTCTTCAATAATTTTAGTTCTATTATATGAGATAAAAATGCCAAACAGACAACTTTTATGTTCCTTGATTAATCCCATTTCCCAAGATTCTTTGGTTTTAAGCTTTCACATTAAGGTTCAGATTCCTGACCTAATTGTCTCCAGGCTTCAAAATTCAATCCCTCCAGATCTCTTGTGAGATGGTGTTCTCGTTTCAAATCCTATTAGATTTTGGTCATTACGTGCAAGATCACCAAACTTGCATGAGATTTGGCAAATCTGTGAGTTGTGATAGGGTGGTTTTTTTTTTTAATTGTGTGTGGGGGTGCATGTATATGTGCTTTCAAATCAGCCTTAATTCCTGGGACTATATGGAAAAGCCTATGCAGTTTTCTTGGCAATGGTTTCTTATTTCTTTCTTCCTAGAGCTGAGAGACCCTGACTGGCTAAGGGTCACCCAGGTGCCTTCCACGTTGAAGGCCAGATTAGGACTTCTGTCTCACTGCTGTGGGAAGTCAGAGCCCCAGAGAAGGAAATATTAAAAAGGGGAGAAAAATATATTTCCTCAAAAGTATTTTAAAAAGCAGAAACCAACTTTGGCTCCAAATCTCTCTGCCCCAAGCAAGATCTAGCCCCATACAAATGCAGATGTAAAACCATCAGAAAGTTGAAGCTAGAGCAATCAAGAAGACAAAGAGAAAATCTGCATGCCCCACCCAAACTCTAGGAGTCATTAGCCCCATCACCTGGGAAGCAGGATATGATACTAGGATTAAACCACAGATATCAAGGTCTAGAAAAACACTCAGAAATAGCCTCAAAGTTCATGCCACAGGAACAGGAAACTATTCCAAACAGGGCTAGAGAGGGTATAAAAACCTACTACCCATGTGCTCACTCTTTTTCTTCTCCTCTGCTCCTTCTTGCAAGGACCATCTTTCTGCTTCAATAAACTGTAAACTTCTTCCCAAAGCAGTCGCCATGTTGCTTATTTATCCCCGGCTTGGATGAACCAGGATGAAGACTTTACTTCTATCACTGCTTAATTACTAGATCAAATTCTCCTGGTCTATAGTAGTAGTAGTAATAGTTTTGGAGTGAGGTTGCTATATTAAAAAAAACAATGTACAACCATTCTTTTTTCTCTATTGATCTTGAAAAAAGTATAAGAGCATTGGGAAACATTGAAAATTACCAAGGTAACAGTTAAGAGTAGCAGAGCTGGAAAGGACCTCGGAGGTCATCTAGTCCAAACCATTGCTCTCGCAGGAGACTATACTATTTCTGTCCAGTCTTTTCTCAAAAACCTCCAGTGATGAAGTACTTACTGCTTCAGAAGGCAAGCTGTTCTCACTGTTAGGAATTTTCTCCTTAGTTCTAGGTTGCTTCTCCCACAGGTTAGTTTCTATTGTGATTGCTCTGGATCTCCTATACCAGCAATGGCGAACCTTTTAGAGACCGAGTGCCCAAACTGCAACCCAAAAACCACTTATGCATCGTCGGGTGTTGGCTGGGTGTGGCCCATTGGGTGGGTGTGGCCAATTGGGTGGGTGTGGCCCATTGGGTGGGCGTGGCTGCGGTGGTAACGGCAGACTGGGTGGGACTAAAAAGTTCAATCAATCAATTCCAACTTTGCAAGATCTTTTTTTTCCCCACGAGAAGTTGAAATTGACTGATTGATTGAACCTTTTTTTTTTTTGCACACGGCGGCAGAGGCCTAAAGCGAAAAGGTTTTATAAAACCCAGCTGAAGGCCTAGGACTGGGGTGACGGCACGTGTGCCCACAGAGAGAGCTCTGAGTGCCGCCTCTGGCACCGTGCCATAGGTTCGCCACCACTGTCCTATATATTTCCCTAAACATGGCAAGACAAGTGCGTCATCAAATAATAGTTTTACAGAACCATGACATTTAAACCTTTTTAAACTTGAAAGACCAATGTGTTGGAGAGATGAGACACAGGTTTCATAAAATAAATAGATACATAACTGTGATTCCTATCCTATCGTCAATGAATACATATGCTTTAATTATATTGTGAGTGGGCCATTTTGCTTTAATTGCATTCATGCTGAAACGATGCACACTTATCAGTCTCCCTGAATTTACTCAAATGTAATTCTGATTGAACATACGTAGAACTGCCTTATGAATCCCCTCAGCTGTTGAAATAGTTTCTTAATGGAACTACAGGTAGTCCTTGACTTACAATGGTTCATTTAGTGACTGTTAGCAGTTACAACAGCACCGAAAAAGTGACTTATGACCATTTTTTCACATTTGTGACCGTTGCAGCATCCCCATGGTCACATGATCAAAATTCAAACGCTTGGGAACTGACTCACATTTATGACGGTTGCCGTGTCCCGGGGTCATGTGATCACCTTTTGCGACCTTCTGACATGCAAAGTCAATGGGGAAGCCAGGTTCACTTAACATCCGTGTTACTAATTTAACAACTGCAGTGATTCACTTAAACAACTGTGGCAAGAAAGATTATAAAAGGGGTTAAATTTCACTTAACAAGTGTCTCACTTAGCAACAAAAAATTGGGGCTCAATTGTGGTCATAAGTCGAGGATTACCTGTATTCCAAGGGATGGGGATACACAAAATGATTAATGTTCTATCTCCAGGACTATGCAGGAGATCACATTCCCAGTTTCTCGTTTCTCTCTTTACTTTAGGTGTCAGCAGGATCCATAGTAGAAACAGTAGAAGACAAAATGATTGATTCACGGCTGCAGGTTTATGTCACTCGTCCAGGTTTATTCACCTGTATAGCCACCAACAAGCACAGTGAGACTTATGGCACTGCAAAAGCTGCAGCAACTATTAATGTTTCAGGTATGCGTTGGGGGGGGGGAAGCTTCTCTTGAAGGATTAGATGACATTTAACTCCAGCCTAGGATTTTATTCGTGTTCAGAAACCTCGTAGAATGTGAAAGGCACACAAATGTGAGAGGCGTTAGCTTCCTTGTAATTTCCTCCAGGATAAACATAATTTTGAGAATTGGTTTTGTTCCTGGCTGTTTCCCCCTGTAATATATTTCAGATATTGGCACAACTTTAGCTACCTACATGCTTGCTGCCATCTTCATTACACTCTCCTAAAGACCACTTTGTAAATTCATCCAGAGGAAGGAAGCAAGGAAGGGTGATGAAGTGTTATATTAATATCCCCTAATGGCCATGCGGAAATAGTTCAGTGAGCTTTTATCATCTTGAGTATAATATTTACAGTATGTTGGTAGTATGTTGGTCTCCAAGGAAAACAGAACTCCAAAATATTCTTCATTCACTAGGACCATGTACATAACTCTTTGAGGATGGAAAATCATGGCGAACTTAGTCTGATTTCTTTTTAATGTGATGCTCTCATAAAAGATGATGGAATGGAATGGTGATTTGCAGCCCTACCACACTGGGGAGACTTTAATGAAATCCATTCCTCCATGCAAATCTAAACCATGTGGTAGCTTTTCATGTATGTCATACTTCAAAAAGCTTTTCAATATTTCTTCCCCATTATCATATTTTGCTCTCTTCCAGCTTTAACCACTAGGATAATTAATTTTCTGCATTTCTGCTCCAGTGGAGCCTCATTTGTTTTTTTGTGGCTGCTTTATCAAATTATCCTTACATTTGTTTTGGGCTGTGTTTGCAGTGTATGGTTTCTGACAGCTACTAAAAAAAAAGGAAAATGTGATCAAGTACTTTCAAACTTATTTCTATTCATAAATATATTAATATATTTTTTTAGAACAATGCAAATTGCACTGACAATTTCCTTGTCTCTCCCCAACTCAACTCTTTGTTTCAATGAACTTTCTGCCTGTTCCTGTAGAATGGAGGTAAGAAAAATCTTGGCATAATTATTACTAATACTGTGTGAGAAATGTATGTAATCACTTGGAAAACTTTTTTTTTGTTTGCCCAAGATGAAAATGGGTGCTTGCCAAGAACAGTTGTGCTCTTTTACTTTCAATTAAGTCTATTTAAAATACAGATCACAATATTTTCTTGGTTCACTTCTTTCTTTTTTTGCAAAAAGCAGCTTGTGATGGAGGATTTTGGTGTATGGCAGAATTTAATCAAGAAACAAACCTGTGGAGTAATGGAATATTGATAAAGCTAACAATGTAATAGCTTAATGTAAAGTAATATTAATAGTATCGTTTAAACAGGGAAGTTATATCATGAAAAAAAAAGAAATATTGATAAAGCTACAGGATAAATATATATCTTATAGTATATCAACCTGTCAAGTAACTTTAAGTTGTTTAAACGTCACAATTTAACATTATAATACAAATTAATTTCTGTTTTACCTTAATTGTTATAGCAATTAATTACCTTGCATGTGTGCTTCAGAAATACAAATAAATGATATTGGTTGAAAATTCAAGGGTCGGCTTATCAGTGGATGGGCTTATCTGTGAATATATATGGGATATCCAGTTACTTTAAAAAAGTTGAAGAAAAAACCTCAATTAAAAACCTATTTAATTGAGGATAAGTCCATCTGCAGATAAGCCAAACCCAATTTTTAGGATGTATTTAAGTAGCTAAAATTCTTAGCTTATCCTCAAGTATATACAGTACGACTAATTTGGGTGTAATCTAGTCATAGTAAATATTGAGGTCAGTTTCAATAAGGCTATGAAAGAATAGTTATTAAAAATAAAATTTATCATTCATCTTAGGCTCGTGTATATAGAAATATACACTCAGAGGCTCCCTTTTTGGGGGGGCTAGTTCATTCATAAAATGGCTGCCATTTGGGAATGGCTTTTCCTGTTTATTAACTGTATAGTATATTGAATGAGCTCCGTTAAAAAAGACAACTGATGGGATGTAGTCCTCGACTTACAACCATTCATTGGGTGATTGTTTGAAGTTACAAGGGCACAGAAAAAAGTGACTTATATGTTTTTTACACTTACGACCATTGCAGCATCCCCATGGTCACGTGATCAAAATCCGGACACTTAGCAACTCATCTGTATTTATGTGATCCCCTTTTGAGAACTTCTGACAAGCAAAGTCAACAGGGAAGCCAGATTCACTTAAAAATTGTGTTTCTGACTTAACAACTGCAGTGATTCCCTTAACAACTTTGGCAAGAAAGGTCGTAGAATGGGGTAAAATTGAGTTGAGAACTACCTGGTCTCACTTTTGGTCCCCAGAATGTTCACTGCATTGAAGGCAATAAAGTTGATGCTAGAAATTAGTATTTTGCTTGACCGTTTGTACGTTTCCTGTGTGTGTGTGTGTGTGTGTGTGTGTGTGTATGTGTGTGTGTGTGTGTGTGTGTGTGTATAATGTATGTATATGCATACATACATTAATATATTTTATGCATTTTAAAAATATTGTTTAAAAATTTATTCAAGTTGGGGCAGAAAGCCGAGCTGGTGCTATGGAACGCCAAACATTTTGGAGCATTTGCAATTTAATAAAAGTTAAAACCAGAGCCTGAAGAGGCATAATAATAAATGCAAGTTTACTGGAAATAAGGCTGATCTTGAGAGAGACAGGATACAAATATAAAACATACACAAAATAAATATATTGTATCATCCTCAACTTTTTTATTATGCCACTAGAAAAAATTAATTGTGAGTGATATTCCAATAGAAGCAAGATTAGGACAGAGATTTTAAGTCATTCAAAAGTGAAGAGAGAGAGAGAGAGAGAGAGAGAGAGAGAGAGAGAGAGAGAGAGAGAGAGAGAGAGAGAGAGAGGATGCTAATTGCCCCACAAATTGCCTCAGAAACAAAGTCTCTTGAATGGAGACTTTGTGTTCACTAAAACAGACAAATCTTGCTGGATATATACATTTCCTAGACCTTATTACATTCTAATTTTATAACAACAAAATTACAAAGTACTCCCTGTCAAAGCTATTAGAATGAATCATATGCCTAATTTTCAGAAACCATGTAATTTGATGAATTAAAGTTGATTGGATCTATTCCATTAAACACATTTGGGGGAATCTGTTTGCAGGCATATTCAGCAATTGAATAGAATAGATACCAATATGTTATGTGTTCTGCTGGTAAGATATTTCTTTCCTCTCCCAAAAACCCCAAGCCGTGTTTCCAAAAGTATCTAACAAAATTGCAAAGTTTAGTGAAATATAATTCGAATTACAAAAAGTCTTGAAATTTTGGAATATAGCTTCGATAAGAAAGTAGTTTAATCATCTTTGTATTTTCTGATTTTTTTTAGCTTTTTGCTTTGAAAGACCAAAAGTGGGTTTTAGTTTTGTGCACAAGAAAGTAAACTCATTATCAGAGGAACTGAAAATAATGGCCCTATAGACTAAAATGAGTTTTCCAAAAAGTATTGGAACAGCTTATTATTGCCATTTTTAATTTATTTCACACTCAATTACCCAGATTAGTTTAATTATTCGATATTGTCTTATTTCATTGAGGTAGTTCTCTTATAACTCTCTTTTGTTAATTATTAGGCATTTTAATGTTTTTATATTTACCATAACCATGTTAACTGTTACAGATGTTTTTATTGATTGCTTTGTAAACAATCAGCCTATATTCAGTGTTATCAAAATAGGACAAACAAACAAATTATGGCTGGATTGTACTGGCAATGGGCTAAGCAGAAAATGCACATCTGGCTAGAAACTGGATAATTTTACTGAAACTTACTGATATATGCATAACCTCCTGGTGGTCCTCATCCACAAGTTGGTAAACACTGGAAACAGAGTATCAGAAATACCAGATGTTTGCCAAGTTTATAGGCCAACGTTGAATAATAGCTGCAACTAAAGAAAAAAAAAGAGAATAAATACAAACAAAAGCAAAAATTGAGATCCAGTCTCTAAGCTTTTTCTTCCTGGCATAAACAGAGCATGCCAAAAATGTGTAGTCTTGACAGCATTTTCCAGGATCCATTCTTCGTATAACAAAAATATTCCATGAAGGATAATAGGTCGTGGCAAGATAGCAGCCAAATCGGTCAACCAAATTCCCACAGTTGGAAATGCAGGTGAGAAGGCCTTTGAGCAATGTTCATATGACCTGTGATTGACACATAGTGTGCTGGTCAAGGCCATCCTTTTATTTTGTTATTGCTTTTAGAGGGATTGGAAGCAACCTCTTGAAGGCACCCATCGGGTTTTTTTTCTGCCAGTCTAGATTCCTTTGGCAAGAAACCCAGATATGCCTTCTTATAGAATTTGCGTTGTTTCTAGAGCTTAAGAGTGTCAACTACATCCAAAGAATTGGTTACTTTCTGTCAACAGCATTTTTAGCATTGTAGTTTTATTAAGGCTGTAGAAACATGGAGCCAAATTAGGGTACACAATCTGGAAAAGGAAGCAGCAAATTCAGAAACAACGGCAGACCAAAAAAACATTGCTAATCTGCATGGACCTAATAATGAACAAACTTTGCCTGCTAGATGGATGAATAATCTGATTCAGTTCAAAGTGATTAACTTTACAGATAAGCAATTTTGGGGGGGCTGGTGTTGGTGGTGGTGGGGTTAACATTCAATTACTTTTGTTTACCGAAAGTAATATGTTATGAGCCCCATCTGGCTAGGTGACAAAGGCAAGCTTTCAGATCAATATTTTTCTTTTTCTTGTTATTGAAGGGAGTCTTTTGATTTACATTTGGTTTAAATTAAATTGGTTTCAATTTGGATATCTATTGGTAATTAAAAAATGCTATTCAAATCTCCCAATGGGGCCTCAAAAGAGCAATTTCCCCATGTAATATAAAGGCTGATAAGAGCAAGCAGAAAATCAACTGGTCGCAGTCAAATCTGCAGTGGGACGGTATAAATTCAGACTTGATTTCATAATGTTTTTTCCTCATTATTTAAAGCAAAGCCTAAATCAATCTACTTTTCACATTTCATAAATAAATAAGGAGATTGAGAAAGATAGCACATCGTTCTCACATCCCCTCTATTCAAGAGAAAGGGATAAAAAAATATAGACCGGTCTATCCGCTTGCCTTCTGGCCTATGAGACCTGAGGTGAAGCTGTATTTTCACTGTTCTCAACAAGGATCCCATAACTTTCAGGTGTGGAAGACATGAAGCTGGTTCCCTGAGAGACAGTCGGGAAGGCAAAACTCCCCTTCTCTACGGGACTGGGACAGAAGGGAAAATGAGCAGTGGCCCAGAATCTACCCCACTCTCTGTGCCGAGAAAGAGGCCAGGGATGTCTGCAGGAGGGGGCCAAAATCAGCAAGGTGGTAGAAAGAATAGTGATGCCCCTTTTGCTTGCAGTGACATTGCACACACTTTCAAAAAGGGCTTGCATTGCCCCATTCGGTCCACCATTCCTCCAATTTTGATACCCCTCCCCAACACTATAAATGCTCAGCTCCACCCCAATAAAAGGGATTACAAGGTCATAAAAAGAAAGAAAAAATCTTAAGAAGACAGTCCACAACCAGTCCACATAAAATAATAAAGTCCACCCCCTAAAGGGATACCATTAACATATAACAATATATACTTACAGAGGACAGCCGTCTAATAGGCATCTGCTAACAATTCTTAAATGTGTAATACCTATATACCATTAGTCTGTTATTTTGACCAAAAGATACTTCTCTGATAGCAACGTGCCTTGAAATGAATTAGACTGGCCCTAAAAACAAGACTAAACTATTAGCTGACTAGATAAATACTCAGATAGGCAAAATTCAAGGACATAAACCCAGGGCCTGCTCCTACTCAAAGGAAGCACTAGACTAATGAGGCCTGAGCTTATTCAATAACCTTAAGGACCCACTTAGAGGAAAACAGTAACAAACTGCGGATGCAGACAATGAACAGGCTGCTTATAGCATCCCCAGAGATTTGGCCGGCAAATTTGAATTCTGAATTCTGAACAGGAGCCTTGTTTTTAAGCGTTGAAGATGTCCTCCTACGTGTTGCTGCAAGCCCTGCTAGTTCCCTTCATTCAGAAGCCTGTCTTTGACACAATGAAGGCTAGGAGCGGAGCTTATAAGACTACTGGCAGCATCTCTGTATATCATTCATAAAATCAGAGTGGAAAAGACTTGAAGAAATAGGACTCCTGGCTGGCCCTGCTATATCCGCAGGGTTGCTGCACAGCGATCAAGTTACAGTCATCATTAATCACTTCCTTTCCTTCAAACTTGAGCTGAGGGAAAAAGCCATCCAGTTCCGGATGGTGGGCAAAAAAAGCGGTAGAACTAAAGATGCAAGTTAAGTTGCAACGCTGAGAAAGAATTCTAAAACGGAGAAAGCTGACCGGCATTCTTGCAGCTGGAATTCATCTATAAATATGGAGTGTTTGGAAATGCTCGTCATCTTGTCAAAAGCAGGCAACTCATTTTCCTCCAGGCGGACGGATTGGTGAATGTGAAAGGTTCTGCAAAGGTGCAGTTAGCTGGCATTTCCAAATATTTAGAATGGATATAAATTGGACTCTGTGACCTTTGAGTAAAGCTTCATAAAATAATTGTGGCTGAGCAGTCCTGTATGTGTTTCGTATGAAGGGAGCTGAGTGGTCTGGAGGAAGAAGAATAGCCTTTGTTTTATTGTGTACTGTCAGAGTCAACTTGTGCAAGAATGGGCAGCCATATAATTTTTGATAAATCTATAAATAAGTCTCTGCCGTGAAAGGGTTACCGTTAGGATGGATGTGCAAGTGCATTTAACAAGACATTGTAGGCTAATGATTTTTGTGCACTTGCCTGTAAAGCAACTGTGGAACAAAAAACAGTCCTCAACATTATAAATGCCTTAAGGACCTGGCTTTTCTCCCAAACGTTGAGGGATTAAATGATATATTTGCAGGCATGGGCGCCAGGTTTTCATTTTTATTGTTTTTTAAATGTTTTATCTTTTAATTGAGTGCGTTTTACAGTTTTTTAAAAATGATTTTATTGGAAGCCGCCCAGAGTTGTCTGGAAGATGGGTGGCTACATAGATGCTTTAAAAAAATAAAATAAAAGTGAAATATTGGCAGAAATGCCTTGGTTTGCCATCTGTGTCTAACATCACATTGGTAATCATGATTTGCCAGAGTCAAATGGATTCCTTGGAACAGTAATTTCCTTTAGTAATTAGCCACTATGGGCAGTCCCCCATTTTGAACTGAGTAAATTTGCAATCCTTGAGCAAGACACATGGGGATAGGGGTATAAAAAGCAGTCAAGATGGTAGTTGTGGCCTTGCAATCAAAGACCTGTCCTTTTTGCAACAAGCATAAAAATAGGGTCACTTTTTTCAGTGCCATTGTAACTTTAAATTGTCATTAAAGGAACTGTTGTAAGTTGAGGACTACAAGTATAGACCTGAGACTCACTGCTTTTTGCTTGAGGCAGGATTAGAATACAGTCTCCCAGTTTTTAGCCTGATGCCTTAAACCAGTGATGGCGAACCTTTTAGACACCGAGTGCCCAAAAACCGCCCTGTCCCCCGCCCTGCCCTGCCCTGCCTTGCCCACTCCACCCCCACCCTGCCTGCCCGCAGGGCCACCCACCGCCTTCACGGCCTACCGCAGCAGATCGCCCAGGCAACCCTGCAGCACCATGGCAGCCACACCCTCCACCCATACCCTACACATCATCTGCGTGTGACGGGACGCAAGGGTGGAGTCTTGTCCCTGCTGCCTGGATGACATGTCTTTGGCTGTGCTGCTCTGTGTGGGCCGCACCCAGGGGCGACTCTCCTCTGGGGGGGCTGCTGGTGAGGAGGGGGCCACAGGGGGAGGCGGGACTGGGGCAACGATGCACGTGCCCACAGAGAGGTCTCTGAGTGCCGCCTCTGGCACGTGTGCCATAGGTTCGCCCCCACTGCCTTAAACACTACACAAATTGTCAGTCTCTGTCTCTGTCTGTCTGTCTGTCTGTCTGTCTGTCTGTCTGTCTGTCTGTCTGTCTGTCTGTCTGTCTCTCTCTCTCTCTCTCTCTCTCTCTCTCTCTCTCTCTGCAAGGAAAACTGCACTTCACTGTTCTGGAGGCTAGGTTAGGTTGACATATTTAAACAACATGTGTGTTCAATTACTATATTCAGATACTTTTTATTTGTTGGGCAAATGGCCCAAAGGAAGAAGCTGTGCATGTACAGTTGAAAATATTTAGCATCTGCCAGACACACCAGAGTCCTGATTGCATTGAAAAGGCCACATACTTTCCACTTATTGAACAGAGATTTTCCATAAGATCTACTTCCTAATATACAAAAGTTTAAGGATGCCACTTGCAGAGATCTGTGACTTTTTATTTTGAATTCCTAAATTGCAGATTTTGAACAAATGAGTAAATAGCTAGTTTGCTATACAAAGTAGTGGATATGCTTTTGAGGGTCCAAGCAACTCTCTATCAGGTGTCTTGGTTAAAAGCTGGTATGTGTGTGGAGGGAATAGGGAAATATGACTGATCCTGGGATGTGTGCCTGTTAGTTTTAGCATTATTATTGGGAAAGAGAATGGATTATTAGAGAAAATTGGGAAATTGTTAGATTACCTTGGGAGTTATCCTAAATCTTTTTGATAAAAGAGTGTTGATTTTAACAGCTGGGATTAATCATTCCAAAAATGTGAACTTCCAAAATATTTGCTTGCTTTTTCTTTCCAACAAACCTGGGAGAACTTCTAGGAATCTCTTAACTAAATTCCATACTTGATCAGAATCTGGTGACTTCAACTTATTCTAATTAAGAATGTCAACTGCAAAGATATGGATTAAAGATCAAATATGCTGTTTCTTTCTTTTCATCTGTTTTTTTTTTTAAAAAAACCGTTAGTCTTCTCACTTGATCCAGAAGTTTTAGGATTATGAAAGATTGCAATTATTTTGAAAATCTTGCCTGATCTACTACAGGGGTCCCCAAACCCCAAGCTGTGGACAAGTATTGATCAGCAGCCCATTGGAAACCGGGCCGCGCAAGCAGTGGCCAAGTGTGTGAAGCTTCATTTGCACATGTACGGGAGCTAGGTTGCATGTGTGAAACCATCCCTCCCCCCCCCCCCCCGCTGCTGCTGCTGCCAGTCCATGGAGCCGGAATGGTTGGGGACCGCTGATGTACTAGACATAACACTCATACATATATTGTACAGGTAGTTCTCACTTACTGGCCACAACTGGAATTAGCAACTCTGTCATTAATTGATAACGATTGTTAAGTGAGACATCATGTGACTGCAACTTGCAATTTTACTGCTGGTTTCTCCATTGATTTTGCTTGTCAGAAGTTGGCAATGGAATGTGCAAATGGTGATCACGTGCCTGTGGGATGTTGCAACAGTTATTAAATACCCATTGGCTGTGAAGCATCTGACTCTTGATCACCTGACTACAAGGAAACTGACAGTGTGAAGGCTGGTTATAAACTTTACTTTCCATAAAGTTATTGTTCTAACTTTGAACAGTTGCTAAACTGGGCAAATTAAGCAAGGACTACCTCATAGTCCTCAGAATTGCCATTGTTATTTCTTCAATGGCTGTACACCTTTGCTCAGTTCCAGCCTGCATGGAAATCTTATCTACATGTGTTTCTCCCATCAGCAAATTCTACAAAGGTGATGCAGGCTACTGCAGTTCATATCGGGGAGAGGTGTGCAGTGCTTTGTTGGCAAAGGATGCATTTGTTTTTTTTAATACTTCCTATGGAGACCCAGAGGAGACCCAGGAATTGCTTGTTCGCACAGCCTGGGCTGAGCTGAAAACCATGAGTCCGTTCTGCCGTCCAGCCGCTGAGTCACTGCTCTGTCACTACATCTTCCAGGAGTGCAACCCCTCCAGGATTGGACCTGCTCCAAAACCTGTTTGCAGGTAACAGAAATCAGCAAAACACTTTGCTTTGGATTCTTGGCTTATCCCACAAATTATATGACGTTCCGTTACACAGCCTGAATTTGAGATGTGTGACTCAAGTAGGCTTCTTTTCTTGAGAACGTGATGATGGTTGACTTCACCACTATTCTATACACTGTAGTATAAATATGTTCATATAAGCAATGATCCGAGTGCATTTTAGGATTAATTGATATAATATTTGAAATTGAGGGGGTCGGCAAAAAGAGGACAGGCATATTGTATTTCTAATTCTTGCACAAAACGCAACTTCTGCTCTACTGGATCAAAGCAAAGATTCTTTTTAATTTGGCATTCTGTTTTTAGAGTGGGGCACTTAGATAACCCCCCCCCCCAGAAAAAAAACCCCAGACAAACAAGAAATATGCACAATGTAACTTCCCTTTCTCGTTATTTTATTCCATCATTTCACAGTAAATACACATTTTCCTCATTAGGTCCTTCGTGGCAATGATCAAAAAGGCTATGTTAAATGTTTGCCTCCATTCAGGGCCTCTATCCCATGCCATTGAAAAACATGCTTTGGACATGTTCTGAGTTTAAAGTTGTTTAGCGTGGGGTAAGAGGTTGCATGGAATTATTGGAATCTGACTAGCAATGTTTTCCACTTTTGAATCAAGCAAGAGTATAGATTCCCAGATCATTCTGAAAACATTAAGCCTCCTCAGATCTTTTCTGGAGTAAGTTTCTTCCTTCACCTAGCAACTCTGTACACAGAGACTGTCAACCACCTGTTAGCGGAGTAAGAAGTATAGCTTTCTATTTATCTTACAACTGCAGTTGGCTTTTTGTGAATGGGTGTTCGGCCATTGCTGTTGACAAAATATGCTAATACATGTATGCAAAATGAACAAAGAAAACAAAGCCAAAAGGTGGCATAGCAGTACCAAAAACAGAGTCCCAGACAAGATTTAAAAGATAATTAATTTCAGTGGACAAAACAGATCCTCCACTAGTTTAAAAGAGATTCATGATCAATATTCCTTTGCTGATCTTATTTACACCATTCTGTGGCTGTGTGTTTATGTAACAGTCCATTGTGACTGCAATATTGTGATTGTATGGCTGACTATGCATTCCACTGTTTATAAACGATGTAGAGAGCATTGCCTTGCTGTAAAGGATCTCTACTGCTTTAAGGAATGGCTTGCGATGGAAGAAAATGCCCGCAGAGGTATTTATAAGCCGGCACTGATGTTGCTTACTTTGCCAGAGTGTAACAGACTTCCCAGCATGCACCAAGATCCCACCGTCTGCACCAGGATCCCACATTTTGGTAAGTGCCTCAGTAAATTGCAGGATAGTGTAATAAAACTTACCTTATGGAACACCCTCCTCCCAGCAATCTGGCTGACCCTCACCCTTTTTAGCCTTCTGAAAAGCCATCAAGAGCTGACTCTTCACACGGACACTGGACTAGAGTGAGGAGAGCCGAGGGATGGTGGTTGGGACATCCTGGGAGGATGAGGTAGTCCTCAACTTACAACAGTTTGTTTAGTGAGTGTTCAAAATTACAACAGCACTGAAAAAAGTGACTTATGACCATTTTTTTACACTTACAACAATTGTAGCATCTCCATGGTCACATGATCAAAATTTAGATGCTTGGCATCTGACTCATATTTATGACGGTTGCAGTGTCCCAGGGTCATGTGATCGATCACCTTTCGCGACCTTCTGACAAACCAAAGTCAATAGACAAGCAAGATTCACTTAACAACCGTGTTACTAATTTAACAACTGGGTGATTCACTTAACAACTGTGTGAGGAAAGGTCATAAAATGAGGTAAAACTCACATAACCCCTGTCTCACCTAGCAACATAAATTTTGGGCTGAATGAGGTTGTAAATCAAAAACTACCTGTTCTGTATTTTTAGTTTCAGGTTTTCTGGTTTGAGTAGTTTAATTGTGATTGGAAGCCTCTCAGAGTTGTGTTCGAAGATGGATGGCCATACTATTTTTTAAAAATAAATTAAAGAAACATCTCCCCCCTTGCCTCACAAAAGTTCTTGTGAAAATTATGTATTTGACATGAGTGCTGTCAGATCCAGAGTCCTGCCCAATTTCCCTTCCCGTCTGTTTCCCAATTGATTACAAGGGTAGGGTATATATTAAAAAATGTAATAAATAGTCATGGGTAATGGGATTCTGATTTAGCCTCTGAACAGTCAAGGACACAACAAGGCAAGAAGTAAAAGAGTTTTGCTCTTAGGTAGAGGCACATATCTGGCAGCTTGGGCACCTATGAAATGTTCAACCTCCACATATCACTGAATGCATTTTAATCAAAATGTTGAGGATCTCTTTCATCAATTGGAAGAACAATGTAACCCACAGAAAAAGGTCAGGTTAAAATGTTCTTTCCATGATGATTTATACTTATCTGCAAATGGTGGATCATCTAGCTGGGGATAAAGGCATAGCTATGATGATTGGTTAGTAACTTAATGTTCCTTTAATTATGTCATACTAAATACCACAGCACCAAACCTTTTATCTCGGGGATTACTATATAGGATCTTGATTACATTTTTTCTATCTTTTTCTTTCCTCAGAGCTGAAAAAAGAAGGCACAACAAGAAAGCAGTTCTCTTTAGTATATGAAGTTTTAAAAGAATATATGGTTTTGTAAAAAGTGTTGGGCAATTTAGTAGGATGGGCAGAAGGTTCTTGACTTTAATAGTAAAAATTTAAATTAAATTAACTGGTCTTATAAAAAAAGAGAAAGAGTCTGAGGTTTAAGAGAGCTGTTACAGCCGCCCCATAAATTATCTTGCTGAGTTCCTGATCTGTCAAAAAGACGCCAGTGAACCATATTCAGTCTCCCCATTTAACCCTTGAAAAAAAACTTTATTTTTTTCAATATTGCCAGAGCAAATATGGTCTGTCCACTAAATGGAATGTATTCTATACTGTTATTAGACCATCCTGTTTAATTTTGTTTCTCTTCAGAAACTTGTTACAAAGGGAATGGGGCAACATATGAAGGTTCGGTGAATGTCACAGCTTCTGGCATTCCATGTCAGAAGTGGAGTGCACAGGTAAGAAAAACTATTTTTCAAGGTGGAGGAAACCTTTCTTGTAAAGTAGATTTGAATATATATATATCTTCCTCTGGGAATCATTGATATCAAATCATTTCTGGGCAAGGAAGTAGATTAGCCTTTGTGTACAGGAAAAGAAAGATGTGGGCTTGTTTATGTCAAGTTTATTTGAGATTAAAAAGCGCTTTATGTTGGGAGATGAACAGCACAGTTTGAATTGTAGGAGAAACTTCCTGACAGTGAGGACAATCAACCAATGGAACAGCTTACCCCCATCGCTGGAAGTTTTTAAAAAGAGACTGGACAATCATTTGACTGAGATGGTATAGGACCTCCTGCTTGAGCAGGGGGCTGGACTAGAAGACCTCCAAGGTCCCTTCCAACTCTATCTATTCTATTCTATTCTATTCTAAAATGAGAAACACATTGCTGGCATGCTTGGGGATTTTGTTCTTTTTGTGTTGCAAAATGAAATGGGCCGATCTTCCTGACTAATAAAATACAGTTCTCTTCTGCAGCTCTCACTGATTTGTTCTGGGGTTCTTTCTACTGAAAAAAAAAGTACTAAAAATAAGTATGGAAACAAATCAAAAAGGTGGTAATGTATTTTGAAAAGTGGAGAAAATCAACTCATATTCATACTTTCCTGCAGAACTTTCTTTTAAACAAATTAATGTGACAGCAGAGTAGACAAATGGTGGGATATGCAAAACATATGGCCGGAAAACAAGTTGATCATTCCATTCATATTTTTAAATGGGGAAGATATAGCTTAGTACTGATTCATCAGCTCTTCCCCCCTGGAGTTTTCATTCGCTCCAAAATTCTGCTATTATTGCTTCAAAAGTGCCAAAAAGTTGAGAAAATACTTGAAAAATATTTACTCTCTTCTCCCTTGTCACTAGGTTCCTCATGCACACAGAAAAACACCTGAGATTTTCCCAGAGCTCTTCGATGCAATCAATTATTGTCGTAATCCAGGAGGTGAAAATGCACGGCCCTGGTGTTATACAAAAGATCCTTCTATACAGTGGGAATATTGCCACATACCTCAGTGTGAAGATGGTGAGATCACATTACAAATATTATTCAGTCAAAAGGAGTGTTTGGTGTGAATTTTACCCAGGGGATCTAATCCAAAAGCTGCAAACTCACTATTTCAAAACTTATTTTTTTAAAATATGTTTTATTGATTTTTTTTAATATAGTCACCTTAATATTTGGTAAACAGCATGTTGTCTGGGTTTATAGTTAAAAGCAATCAATAACAGTTAATTTCTATAGTTCCATAATCCACATAGTAGCTTTCTTTGATTTTCTCTTTTTCTGAAAATATTCTCTTTTACCAACCTTAAATTAGTACATTTTTTAGTATTTTGATAGATAACAATTGAATATAAACATTTTTCTAGTATTTAACAACTACATCAATATAAAGCTTCTTTTCTGATTGATCATCTTAATTACCTCATCATAGATCCTGTTTTCAAAGTTCTTATTTAGATTTGTTTTCCCTGCAATGTTCAAAACGTTCTAACCAGTTAAGATTTTCTCAGAGTTAATTACACTTATTTAAGTCTTTTTCCTCATACAAGCCATCCCAACAATTTTACGTTTCTCATATCTTAAAAAAAAAGAAAAAGAAAAAGAGAAAAAAGAAGGTAATAATATACTACTTGAGAAACATGTCCCTCTTAAGCTAAGATACATTTATATCCAGAATTTTTCTATCCCTTTTATCTATATTCAAACAAATGGTTAATCTTTAAACATTCCATCTAATAAATCCAATTGTCTAATCTTTTGAATCTATTCAGAACATTCTTATCAATTGAGATTTTCTCAAGATCAATTACGCTTAAGTATCTAAAACATTTCCCTCATATAAACCATCCCAACATTTATATATTTCTCATATCATAAAAAATACTATGTTACTTGAGGGGCCCATCCCTCTAAAACTAAAATACACTTATATCCAGAATTTTTCTATTTTTTTAACCATATTCAAACAAGCGTTTAATCTTTAGATATTCCCTCTGATAAATCCCATCTTCTAATTTCTTAATTCTAATTTTAGCCTTTTCTTTTTTTGCCAAACATCTTTCCTAATCAGGAAAGATGTTTGGACCAAAAAGTCTTCCCATAGTCTTGTAGATGTTGTTGTAAGTGCAAGAGACAAATCCAATAAGATGTTTTTGTGGGAGAATTTCGCCCCTTCGCATTCATTGAAAATCTTTTTCTTTCTCTCTGTCTTAATTTCTCTTATCATTTTTTTGTCTCTCAAGTTCTCATAATTCTCCTGACATCTCTATAATCCATTTTGTCGAATCTTTTTTCTTGTCCTCAGACTTATTTTGCAATCTTGAAGTGTAGGTTATCTTTTCCATGTCCAATATTTCCTACAAGTTTTTTTCTGCCTCGGTTAAGTCATAATTCCTTGCATTGTTGGGTTCCATCTTTAAATCTCTTTTCTCTGGTTTATGTTCAGTTGTCTGCTTTATCTGATCACTTTTCTGAGCGGGTTTTTTTGTTGTTGTAAGGTTAAATTGAAGATGTGTTCATTTATATTTTCAAAGTTATTTTTAATTTCCTCGTGGTTTGAAATCATTGTCGTTTGAATTAGTTGCAACATAGCATACATTTCCTCCTGGAAGGTATTTGTTTTCTCTTGATATGTACTTTCTGCAGATCTCTGATGTTCCATGATAGCCAAAAATCAAAGTTTTCCTTTCTCTGCAAACAGAGTCACAATTCAATAAGTATTTATAACCCAGGAAGGTCAATTTTTTTCCTAAGATTTATAGTTCTTGCCTTGTAGGTAGCCCAAAATGTTTTCTTTTCTTTGTTTCAGCTGTTCTCTGTTTAGTTAAGACATTGAAGGTCACAAAAACTACTTATCTTTTTCTAGGCTTTCTGCCAATTCCTGTATTAGAGCAACTACAGTTGTATATTTTCATCCAGCACTAGAGGTCAGCAACAGTTTGTTTTTCAGTTTTCAGAACAAACAATTACTTTCTTCTGTTTTCATCAATAATCTTTTGAAAAGAAAATCTTAACAAATTCCACCAATTTCAAACTTATCCAGATTTAAGTCTTATATTCATTTCATTTCAATATATTTCTGTCCTCCATAAGAGTTTAATTTGCCGCTTCCTTCTGTGGATGGGTGGGACAAAAGTCCCCCTCCTTCTCACTTCTTAGTCCTCAAACGACAAAAATAAAGACTGTTGTCATGGATTCCGACAGACAGAGATGAATAAAGCAGAACTCCAAGGCTTGCAAATTCCTCAAAGAACATGCTTATTAGTTACAAAGTATTGGCACAGTCAAGAGTGAAACCAAGTCTGGATACACCCATTTAGGGTCCCCAAACAGGAAAAAAATCGGCCGTAGGGTATGGAGCCCCGCAATCCCTTGGCTACTTGTGCTACTGCGCAAAACTGGAAGCCTACTATTTCAAAACTCAATTCAACATTACTCTATAAACTTCTGTTTCTGTTTTGAATTTGGCTGTAAACAATAATAAAATGGTTCTGAAATGTTTCAGTATCAGTAATTAAATCTGATAATCGATGATGCTTTTTTCAGGATGGAAGAAAAGTTAACCAATAAAAAACCATCTGTTTTTGAATTCACTAAGTTGCAAGGGTTTAACCTGACTTGCTATACAGTAATAAAAATAAGTGCATCACTGAATCTTAGCTATTCATATTGATTTCTTTCTTTCTTTTGAAAAACTCAGGGTGATGTACAGTATATGTCTCTGGCATGTTTATTTTCCTCATATTTCATTAAAAGCAAAACAGTGGAATTATATTATGAAATTAGGAGTGGAGATTGATTTGATTTGGAGATTTGGCACTTGTAAGAAAAGGGGATTACTTAAAACTCCTTATCTGCAGATTCTTCCTACAAACAGTACTATGGTATTTTAATCTCAGTTGGGCATATTGGTAACTAAAATCATTTTGAAGTCACATGTGTTGGGACAATTAAAACAGTTTTAGAAAGGTTTGGTGGCTTCTTTCACGACTGGGTAAAACACTAGGACTGTTTCAGAAAGTTTGCTTGCAACCAAAAATCCCTCCTTGGAGCATCAGAGTAGCTGTGATCTTTAGAAGGTTCATGGAGCTACTGTGAAGACTGTCCCCAGCTGTCAGTTCATGCATGCACATGTACAGCTGTTTTGCTGGCAATCTCCAAAGCTGGTATGTGTGTGTCTGGGCCTTTAAAACAGCTGCAGTCTGGCTTTCCAGAGAAGGTGATTGCTTTAATGTTACAGGGGGAGGTGTTTTGTTTGGACCAATGAATTTTGAACAGCGGCTCTGTCAAATGCATTGTTGCACCCCATTAAAAATATTTCTGTCCATTATCACTTACAAAACAGTGCAGACTGCAGTTATGTAAAAAAGCCCACCAAATAATTATATTGGGGAACATAGTTGCTTGCATAGTTTTATGGGTGGGACTTTTAACTTCATATTGGGGAATTGTTATATATGTATCCAGGCTTGGTTTCACTCTTGAGCGTGCCAATACTTTGTAACTAATAAACATGTTCTTTGAGGAATTTTCAAGCCTCGGAGTTCTGCTTTATTCGTCTCTGTCCATCGGAACCATGACAATAGTCTTTATTTTTGCCATTTGAGGACTAAGAATGTTATGATTTTATCCTCAAATATTTTTCCACACTAAATACAAAAGCCCAATTCCTATTCCCTTCAATTCACCAGACAGTGCTTTTGCTTATGGAGGCTGCTTTCATACTAATTTCCATGGCAATATGATAATAGCAACAATGCCTCTAAAAGTGAAGTCTGATTTGTTTCTATTTTAGATTCCTTGGCATTGGGAACAACAAAGTTGAGTACAGTATCTCCACATTTCCCTTTCTTCTCCTCTCTCTCTCCTACCTACTCCATGACTGTCATCATCTCCATCATCTCCAGCTTTGCAATGGTCATCATTCTCATTATTACAGTCCTTGTTTGTTGTCGGAGACGCAAGCAGTGGAAAAACAAAACAAGGTAAGTGTTAGTGAGCCACAATCAGATTCAGCAAAATGAAGAGTTACATCAACTTTGCTGAATTGAGGAGCCAGTTTAGTGTTGTGATTAAAGTGCTGGACTAGAAACCGAAGGAAACTGAAATCTTCCTTTAGGTGTGAAAGCCATCTGGATGACTTTGAGGCAGACTCTCTCTTTCTTGTCATTCTATTTCTATTTACAGGGCTTTGTATTTTGGGATCCCCCCCCAGTTTTTTCTCTTCTCTTCTGTTGTCTCCAGACACTGCCACATTCACTATCCAGACTTTTTCTTTTTGTCTTTCTTATGGACAATTGTTAAGTCTGGGATGCAATGCGGCAGGTGCTTGTGTGTCTCACTTCTAAAGTCCCACGGTAATTTAGCTTCTTCAATGTAGCTTCTTCAGTGTTGTTTTTTCATTATCCTTACATGGCCAAAGATGGGGATTATGTGGCCTGAAGTCCTTTGAAACTGGACGAATCAGTTTAGGGAAGAGAGCTTTTTGTATATAGGCAGATTTAGCCTTTTATAGGTGTCATCATTTAGTGCGAAGTGTCTTGGATATAGATGCTTCTGAGAGTAATACTGGAGACAGGATTACATACCTTAAATGACAGGGAAATAACTTCATTGTTTAATTTGTGTTTTATCAATATTATAATATGCCTCTATTTTTGTATATTCCATATATCCTGGCTGAATGGACGCTAGAATTTTGAGTCACAAAAAGTTGTTGGTTGGTTTGCAAGGCTTATTCCAATTCAGCCACAGATTCTTTCTCTCTCATTCATTTCAGGGAGTTGGTACCACCAGCTCTGACCACTCTTCCTTCGGAGCTCTTGTTGGACAGGCTGCACCCCAACCCCATGTATCAACGCATGCCTCTACTTTTGAATCCCAAATTATTCAGTTTGGAATATCCACGAAATAATATTGAATACGTAAGAGATATCGGAGAAGGTGCTTTTGGACGGGTCTTCCAAGCAAGGTAAACAAACTGTTAACCAGTCATGATTTGGCAGGTATCATTGAGTTCTTTCTGTTTAAGTCCTACAGGGTTAAATAGTTAGAAAATAGGGATGTATTTAAAAGAATTGTATATCACAGATAGATGGCACTACATAAGCCAATATTAGTGATATCCTCCTAAATTCCCTTCCAGTAAGAAAGCTTTCCCACTTATTCCAGGCATGCCAAGGCCTTTGCTGCTGTGGTACTATTGTGATTAAGGGGGAATTCTGACTTAGATGCATTGGCTCCTCAAACACCAAATGTCTGCTGTTCCTTTTATACTGAGCAGAATGACCACTGGGGGAATATATTATCACTAAGGAATATATTATCACTTCATATGGTGACTTCATATAGCCATATGAAGAACAGTTGCAGGAACTGGGTATGTCTAATTTAATGAAAAGAAGGACTAGGGGTGAATGATAGGAGTGTTCCAATATCTAAGGGGCTGCCACAAGGAAGAGGGGGGTCAACTTATTCTCCAGAGCAGCTGAACAAGAAGCAATGGATGGAAATTAATCAAGGAGAGAACCAACCTAGAACTAAGGAGAAGAACAATTAATCAGTGGAATGACTTGCCTCCAGAAGTTGTAGGTGCTCCAAGAAGAGACAACCATTTGTCTTAAATAGTATAGGGTTTATTATCTGAGCAGGGGTTTGGGCTAGAACAGCAGTCCCCAACCATTGCTGCTTGGCGACCCAGCTGGGGGAGGGGAAATGGGCCGTGGGAGTGGCAGGCTGGTGTGCATGCACGCATGCGCAGCTCAGCTCATGCAAGTCGAGTTGCATGTGCAGGTGTGTGTGCCAGCCCACCACTCATGTGGCTTGGTTGCAAATAGACCACGATCTGGTAGTGGGCTGTGACCCAGGGATTGGGGCCCCCGAGCTAGAAGACCTCCAAGGTCCCTTCCAACTTTTTTATTCTGTTATTCTGTTCTTATTAATAAAATTAATCTACATCAGGTGTGGGCAACCCCAAATATGCAGACTGCACTCAACCACTCAAGATCTAATTTATAGTCCTCCATTCCTCAAGACAGTCCTGCTCAAATTTGGTGGCCCAATATTGTTATTTGGAATTTGTTGTTATTTGGATGGGAAGTCATTTCTTCCATGAAATCCCTTAAACTTGCTGGACTGGCTAATATTGTTCATTGAAATAAGCTGGCATTGATGAAGGGGTGGTGGGAGTAGTACAAGTCTTTTTAAGAGTGGAAATGAATGTGATTTATCTTGCAGAGGTTTCCCTCTCCCATTGCCACACATAGTCCCTCCCCCAAAGTCTTGTAAATGGGCAGAAAAAGCTATCCATTCACCTCTCAAGATGTCTTATGTAACCATTTAGCTCATTGGAAGAGTGGCACTCAGTGGTTCTTGGAAACTTTCATCAGTAATATATCCAGTTCATTCTTAATAGTTAATCTAACACTTGTTGAATGCTGCTTCATCATGATAGGAAGGGGGCCCACTGAAGAATTAGAAAATATTATCATTGCAAGGCAAAAAATAGTTACCCAAGTATTCTTTGTATATTGAAAGGATGTTTTAAAGATAAAGGTGGAATTATTTGTTCAGTTTATATAACTTGTGGCTTCTGAGGAAACTGCAATAATTGATATCAGAATATATTATGTATTATATCATGCTGACAGAGACATTGAAAACCTACATCAGAATATTATATGGCCTTCTTGTTTGTACAGTGGTCCAAATATGAAATAATGTGAAGATTTGTTTGCTATTTTAATAGATAAATCCTGATCAGGTGGATAAAGTCAGTAATTGTTCAGTATCTTAAATGCTAAAGAGATCTGTTAAAAGAGAGAGTAGAGGATTTGCAGGAAAAAAATCATCCACTTCTGCAATGTGATTGGATTTTGTTCCATCATTGATATAAATTGATAACTGTCTTCTCCCCAACATCAAGTGATAACTTGGAACCTGAAACAACCAAACTTCTTCCCAATGTTAGCTGTATCTTGCAGGGGAACAGAGTTTTAGGAGGTCAGAAGATTGAAAGATGGATGAAAACAGAAATTGATACTGAATGATGCAATATTATTTCCCAGTGCTAGGTCCAGAGAACAGGATCCTTTAGACCAGTGTTTCTCAACCTTGAAACTGTAAGATGTGTGGACTTCAACTCACAGAATTCTCCAGCCAACCAAGCTAGCTGGAGAATTCTGGAAGTTGAAGTCCACACATCTTAAAGTTGTTAAGATTGAGAAACAGTGCTTTAGACAGAATCTTGCCATACTACTAGTTTATTTATTTACTGTTGTGGGAATGTATTTGGTGACAGAAAATAGAAATAGAAAACCTAATATTCCGAATTGCAGAATTTTAGTTTTGTGGCTGCAGAATTCCAGATCTTATGTTTTGGCTCTGGAAAGCAATTAAGATTCCCCAATCCCAATTAGAAGTCAGTTGAATTTCCATTGCTCCAACTGCTCAAGGAAGTCATCCCATTTTCCTCGTCTCTTTCTCACAGATCAAAATATGTTGCAAGTACATTAAAAGAGCTTCCTGTGGTTCATCACCGGAGCCCAACAGTTTCCTGAAGACATTTCATTGAGCTTAAATATTTGCAAAGAATTTGATGCTCTTGGTTGCAGAGTTAAATAGGCCTGGCTTGCAGTTGTATGGCCACTTGGGGTGATTTGATTTCAGACTGGCATTTTGCCTTATGCTGGCATTTGACAATGATGTGACATTTGCGGCATTCAGCTGCACCTGTCTGGCTGCCATATGGCCAGAGCAGCTATCATAAAAGCTAGAAATATGTTTTGGAGACTAGAACCACTGAATGGCTCCAGAATAGTAAAACAGTTTGACATTTAAGCCAACAGCTGAGCAGGAGGACTGTATGCACTTACTGTTCCCTACTACATACAAGTACAGAGAGTTACTACATGACTAGGATATCTCTTTCTTCTGGTCAGACCAGATGTATCTATTAACGTGAGATACTTAGAAGCAAAAATTCCCTTTAATCATATTCTGTTTGAAGCGTGGTCCTAATTACCAATTGCTCTGCATACTTTTTTTTTTATCAATAGCTATTTGAACTTCAGGAAGAAATGAAAATAAAGAAGCATACTTTATGAAGCCAGAACAGATATCATTTCCTGCTATGTGCCCTGTTATCTTAGTTAGTCTTCCTATATAGGGATGATATACTGGTAGTGATATGCTGTGATTTCTTGTTACACTCTGTCATATCCTACGTTCTGTCAGGGTGATAATAGTGGGATGGGAATGTCTTCCCATCATAACCAATGAGAAAAAAAATTCTTTCTATGCAATGCTAAATTGTAGTTTGAAGTTAAACAGACACGGGTGTGGCTATAGTAATCTCTTTTATCGTTCTGTAACTCATCCTCTTTTAATCCTCCTGTCCCACTAAATCACGACAGTTTAACAACTGATTGCTGGAAATTTTGGGAGTTGCATTCCATAAAGGACTCCATCCAACCTGTAACTTTTCTTTCTACATCTTCCCTTAGGGCTCCTGGACTGCTTCCCTATGAACCCTTCACAATGGTTGCAGTGAAGATGCTCAAAGAAGAAGCCTCAGCAGACATGCAGGCCGATTTTCAGAGAGAGGCAGCTCTCATGGCTGAATTTGACAATCCAAACATTGTCAAACTTTTAGGTACCAAAGCCAAATCTCTCGGTTTCCCCTTTCATATGGTAGACATAAATTTTAAAATGTATCTTTAGAGTGCTGGCTTAACTATGTAGATGACGATCAAAGATGACTAATGGATAAAGGAGTTGGCAGTATTAGAACGTGAGTTTTGATCTGGCAAAGCTTTGGATACATCTGGCTCTTTAGCATCCTGTGCAAAATTACTTGCAAGTTTTGAGAGTCTTCTTGCCCTCAACCTAATATTTCAGAGGATCCAATACTTCCCTTCCCTTTCTTTCCATAATACAGAGCATCATTTGATAGTTTTGTTCTGGCCCTTTCCTTCTCTGTCATGTCCCATCAAAGGCTACTGCGTGTTGTAATCAGAATCAAAGCTGATTTTCAATAGAAATAACACCTGAAGATTTTGTTGTGTCTTCCTCTGGCTGAAAGGATTGTCTATATTTCAGCAGCAAAAAAGGAAAAAGAAAACAGGAAATTGACCCTCTGCTGGAGAAATGTGTGTGTGTGTTTTTATTAACACCATATTGGATACATTAGGAAAGGCCAAAGGGTTATGGGACTGCTGAGCATCCTTTGACCCAAAACTTTCATGTGGACACTTTACTCTGAGTCAGATCCAGATGTTTTCACACTAAGAAATGCTTCCTTTTTCTTTAAAAGTTAGTTGAAGGCAGTAGCAAAAATTCAAACCCAGCTACTGAATGTTGATTAGAAAAGTATGATACATATTTATGCATTTCTCAGTCTCTATTTTTCCCATTTTAATAGTATTAATAGAAGATTGCTTGTTCTGATTATATACAATGAACAAAATTCATCAGTTTGATGCCCAGTGCCTCAGTTAACTCACAAATGACAATGAGCTTGAATGATGACATTATACACTTAAGTGATTCCTTGTTTTATCATCCACATATTCCTGGCATGCTAAGTTAATTACATCATCCATTGTGGGAATCCATTGTTACTGGAAGCTAAGATGTTTTAAAAAGTGGGATCTGTCGCTAGTGCTGTTGAGAAAAAATCATTTTGGTTAATACAAAATAAATTGTTTTGGGGAATTTTTTTCAAGAGCAAGAAAAGCATCTTTGCTACTTTTCAAAGTGGAAGAGTGGTGCTGGCCATTTGTTTTACTTCATTTTTTTATATATATACAGCCTCTTCTTTCTCCCTCTTCTTTCTCTTCCTTTTTTCCACCATCGTGAAATGGTTATTTCTGTCCTATAAATAATGAGTCTTTAAAACATCTGTTTTTCTTTAGGATAACTCTTCTCTCTTGCAGATTTAATATTATGTCATTTATTTATTTATATTTAATTCTAAGAATTTATATGGATGCCCATCTCACGGCAGTGATTTCATAACAGAAAAAGCAATCTTCCCTTTTGGTAGCCCAATCTGGCAATTTCCCAGTGGGTTAAGCTGCAGTTCTCATTGTATCTGGTAAGCCAACAATGTTGGGGAAGCATAATATGTATTCAACTGTTAGAGAAAACAATATACAGACAGTCCTTGACTTACAATCATAATTGAGCACCAAATTTCTCTTGCCAAGTGAGGCAGTTTTTAAGTGGGTTTTGACCCACTTTATTACCTTTCTAGCCACAGTTGTTAAGTGAACGACTCCAGTTGTTTAAGTTAGTAAAACAGCTGTCAAGTGAATCTGGCTCCCCCACTGACTTTGCTTGACAGAAGGTGACAAAAGATGATCACATGACCCCAGAACACTGCAACCATCATCAATATTTGTCAGTTGCCAAGCACCTGAATTTTCATCACATGACCATGGAGATGCTGCAATGGCGACTCGTAAGTTTGAAAAATGTTCATAAGTCACTTTTTTCAGTGCTGTTGTAACTCCGAACAGTCACTAAATGAACCATTGTAAGTCGAGGTCTACCTGTATTATGAGACATAAACTATAAAGAGAACTGACAGGTACTATTTTTTTCAACTCTTCTGTTTCCTGGCATATGAAATGATTCTTTGCTCTTGCTTATAAAATGACGGCAAACAAATTGTGTTTTATCTAACAGAGATTCTTGGTTTCAGGGGTGTGTGCTGTCGGAAAGCCAATGTGCCTGCTTTTCGAATACATGGCGTTTGGAGACCTGAACGAATACCTGCGAAACCGATCGCCACGCAGCCTCTGTAACCCAAGCGGCAACAACCTTGAGCCAAAGATCAGACCCTCCAGCCCTAACGTGCCCACTCTTTCTTGCACTGAACAACTCTGCATTGCCAAACAAGTCGCAGCCGGAATGGCCTATCTTTCAGAACGCAAGTTTGTGCACCGGGACCTGGCCACGAGAAACTGTTTGGTAGGAGAAAACATGGTGGTTAAAATTGCTGACTTTGGTCTCTCCAGAAATATGTACTCGGCGGACTATTACAAAGCCAATGAGAACGATGCCATCCCCATACGTTGGATGCCCCCTGAATCTATCTTCTACAACCGTTATACGACAGAGTCTGATGTCTGGGCCTATGGAGTGGTCCTGTGGGAAATTTTTGCCTTTGGCATGCAACCCTATTATGGGATGGCTCACGAGGAAGTCATTTATTACGTAAGAGATGGAAATATCCTGTCGTGCCCAGATAACTGCCCTTTGGAGCTGTACAATCTGATGCGCCTTTGTTGGAGCAAGTTGCCTTCGGATAGGCCGAGCTTCGCAGGCATCCACCGTATTCTGGAGAGGATGTACGAGAGGGCGATGGCTGCCGAGCAGGTGTGAACTGTTCTCTCGAGCAAGGGACTCCCAAGCTGAACCCTTCAGGTGTATTGGATAACAAACCTGAGAATTCCCAGACAGACTGACTACTGTAGTCCAATACATGGTGGTGATGGTGGTGGTGGGAATTGAGTTGGCAAAGACAGTTTTTGAAGGCAGCGGTTCCTTACTTCTTTCCTGAATGTTTAAATTTGGAAAAAGAAAGAGTTTGCACCTGCCGCATCATCTGTCTTTGTCATTGTGATTCAGGCAGTGTTCCCCATAGGGAAGGGAAGCAGGGTCCGAAAGAGACATTGCTACAGTGGTTTTTTTTTAAAGTAACTCATTATCTAAATATTATTTTTAGTTTTAAAACTTTTTTAAAAAAACCTTTTTGCCATGCCCCAGAATCCAAGGTGGTTAGAAAATACATTCTACATCAAAATGGATACTAAAAACAAAATAACAGCTAACTCAGTAGCAGAACCTCGAGTACAAAATATGTTGAAAGAACAGACAAGAAGCCTCAGGTGTTTCAAGCTTCAGATTATTTCTGAAAAACCAACTCCAAGTGATTTCCAGAACAAGAACATCACTGTTGATTTTACACATCTGTCTCTCCGTATATAGCTGTTTTACCTGAATCTGAACATTGTCTGATCTAGCTTTGTATCATATTCTGACTATATGGGCCTTTGGACGGTGGTCTTTCCTGTTTTCTGTTAAATTGTTTAATAGGTGACATGAGGGACTGTATTTGAGACCACTACTGTACCATGGAAACTGTAGGCTCCATCACTAAGTAATTTCTTCCCAGATGCAGGGAAGGCTGTTCTAATGGAGTCAGATGAATACCACAGCTATAGCTGGGAGGCTGGAATGAAAATGGAAGACATTTGTGCATGTCAGATAGAACCTATGCTTCTGAAACAAAAAAGAAACCTGTTTGGAGGGGGAAAAACAACTGTGAAGTGAAAATTTGCACAAAAGTTCTTTATTTCAATTCATAATTTAGTGACTGGAGGATATGGACTGTTGAATTTTCTAGTTTGTCAAATTCAGGGTACATTCTAATATCTGTTACTAATCGCGTTTTCATAACTTCTCACCCATATTCTGCACCCCAAACCATCTTCTTAAGGAACATTTTGTTTAAACCTACATTCAGCAGGAGGCCTTGCTATTACACATTAAGAGGTTTTAGAACCAGCTGCTTGCATTTTCTCTTTTCTGAGATCTCTCACGAAGCTGCCCATTACCAGCTCCTTATTTCCCTCATTGAATCCCATATATGGCTCACATTCTTTTAGGACCGAAAACAAACACCTAGATTATATGGCCAGAATCCCAAATCTCTTGATGGACTTCTTAACCGGTGCTAAAAGCAAACATCAATGCCCTATTGGAGGCTTTATTAAGAACGGAGTCATACAAGTGGTGAAAGGTAAATAAATGTTTTCATAGCTTTTTCCTTAATAAAGCCTTCACTGGTATCCTGTGGGTTGGCCTCGTCCTGGTGAATTTGGGTGATGATGTAATGGTGGAGTTGGAGAGAAAATGTGGCTCTTTCTAGCCTAGCATTCCAACCTTTGTGGTATTATTAGTGGGAAATAGAGAGTGAAAGTCTATGATGCTTATTAGCCTCTAGTTGCAAAGCAAAAGAGCATAGGTTCCTCTAAATGCAGAGGGAATAAACAAAGACAAATCTTGTTTTATATATATTTCAGTGGTGAATGCTATTATATGCATAGATTAGGAGCTATTATTTTGATTAAATAATAGAGCCATGGCGGCGCAGTGGTTAGAATGCAGTATTGCGGGCTAATTCTGCTGATTGCCAGCAGGTTGATCCTGACAGGGCTCAAGGTTGACTCAGCCTTCCATCCTTCCGAGGTAGGTAAAATGGGGACCCAGATTTTGGGGGACAATATGCTGACTCTGTAAACCACTTAAAGAGGTTATATGCAGTGGTATATAAGTCTCAGCGCTATTGCTATTGCTAATAAATACAGTCTTGGTTACAAAACTTTTTATTAGCTTATCCAAATACAATATAAAATACAAAAATACAAAAGAAAATAATGGGAAACTAAGGAAAGGAGAAGGGAAAAGAAAAGTGTAGGGCAAAGCAAAGAAAGAAAGAAAAGGTGTTGATTTGCAACTCCTTTTGGTGCAGTAGAATAAGATAATAGCATCAAACCTCAACTTTCATTTTTGTGCATAAAGTAATCCTTCCATTTTTGTGCATAAGGTAATCTTGCTGCCATCAACATATAAAACATCAAAGTCCCAATTTTTTTTCAAAATCTTTTCCCATTAAACCCCAAAGTCTCTGGTTTTATCTTTATATTCACTCTAATAATCTTCTGTATTAAGATGTGAATATTACTCTAATATTTATTTGCTTTGTCACATGTCCACCAGATTAAATTATTGTTCAAGGGAAGATTACATTGCCTCTCTGTTGTCCTTTTACAGTTTTCTCTCATTTGAGTTTGAGTATTTTAATATATCTCATGCTACGTTCCCACCATGTCATTTGGACTTGTAGAGGTAGGTGCAGGTTCATTTCACCTTGTTTACTAGATTATTGCTGTTTTACTGACAATATATCAGATTTCTGAATTAAGGTATCAGTGCAGTTAACCAAAGCACATCCCTAAAACAAGAAATGTAAAGTTTATGCTTGGATTTAAATGCTGAATCGGGAATCCAAGTAGAATCCAGAAAGGGTGAATTGACAGGTTTTGTGTGATTGGTGAACCTAAGCCTCAAAAAGCAATATCATGCAAATCAAACAGGGAGTGACAAATCAGAAACATCCGCTCATAGAAATAGTGGCCCAAATCTCATTATCTTCTGCCATTTTGTTTAAATACCAATGCAAAGGCTCTCCCAAGCATGAAGAGAACAACGTTTCAGGCAGTTGAGATGGTCCTATTTAAACAATAAGACATATCAGAATTTTCAAAAGCCAAACTCCAAAGTCTAGAGCAGTTAGGGTTTTTTTGTGTGACATTAACTGGGACTTGATGAGGAGGTGCAAGTTTTCCTTTTTCCCTAGCTTTGCCCACCATTACAAAGATACCATATCAAGGAGTGATTCTGGTAAGCAATGTATGCAACGTATAAACCTGTTTCTAGTTTTATAACTTTTGTTTCATAAAACATAGAAATAAACTTTATTTTACATTGATTGTTGGAGCCTTGTTTTGAATGGCATAATGTCTGTTGTAGTTACTCCTCAAAGTTGGCTTATATGAAAAGCAAAAAAGTAATCTTTCTGCGTGGCAAACCTATCATGCACTAATAAATTATTACCAGAGTCGAAACAAGCCCCTTCTATCCCAAGGTTCAGAAATGGACTTAAAATATACTTATTTTAACAATCTAATATTTTTATGTTTACACTTTTGGGGGGGGAAGGGTTTTATAGTTCTTATTTAAATGTTTTATTAGTGTTTTTGTAGTATTTTTCTAGGACATTCATAGCCATTAAGGAACTGGACAGCATATGACAGTGATGGCGAACCTTTTAGAGACCCAAAACTGGCCCCGCCCCATCCACCCCCTGCCCCGCCCCTGCTCCGCCCCCATCCCCCACCCCGCCTGCCCGCAGGGCCATTCACCGCCTCCAGGGCCCGCCGCAGCGCCCAGGCAGCCCAGCAGCACTATGGCGGTCACGCCCTCTGCCCGCGCCCTGCAGCATCAACTGTGCATGATGGGGTGTGAGGGCAGAGTCTTGTCTATGCTGCCTGGCTGCCATGTCCTTGGCTGCGCTGCTCTGCATGGGCCACGCTCAGGGGTGACTCTTCTTCAGGGGGGCTGCTGGAGAGGAGGGGGTCACGGGGGGAGGCAAGGCTGGGGCAATGGCACGTGTGCCCACAGAGAGGACTCCAAGTGCCACCTCTGGCACCCGTGCCATAGGTTCGCCACCACTGGCATATGAACTTGCTAAACAAAGAAGCAAATATATTACTTTTTTTTAATATGAAGAATTGTGTTTTTGCAGTCTGGTTGGTTAGTATCAGATTTCCAGAGTGCAGCCCTTTGGAGCTATGAATTGCTCACCTCTGTTCTAAATGATTTTTCTTACAGCTGACTTTATATTTGGTTTGAATACTATGGGAATTTGTCCCCAAAGAAAAGGTCATGGGAAGATGCATCAGATTTTTCAGCTTAAAAATTCAGTCCCACTCATTTATATGTAGATATTTACATGGTGTTCCAGAAGCAGTCACCAATTAAATATCAGTCACTGATATTAGTATTGCCGAATTTTGACTGGCATATTACTTCTGGGACTACAAACATGCACACTTCGTGTCATATAATCTACCATCGCATAAAGCATGAATGGGTAGCAACTGTACTTGCACACTGAATCACAGCTTGTTATGAATGACAATTTTACATGTGGTTAAAACATAACAGCTGTTGTGGAAATACTGTGAATATAAGCTCATTTCAGGCCTCATATATTGATTTTGATTGCAAGGGGAATACATGGTATTTTTTAGTCACAGGGGACTTTGAATTTTTGTGACTTTAGCTGGAGGATCAACATCCTGTGTAAACAAATAGCTTGGTGAAGAGTTGATCCAGTAGGGCTAGTGAATGAAAAGAGTATCATTCATTCTCCTTGGCAGTGATATCACTGACTTCTAAATTTACCAGTTGTATTTTGGAGCTGGGTTTAGTTTATGATATGGGATGCCAAGAAGTGAGACAGGCAGGGTTGGATTACAGAGGAGGAGGGTGGGGATCTTCAGCCCGGAGAGCAGAATGATACAGTGTGTCTCCAAGAAAAGAACAGGAAGTTCTTAAGGTCCAGACATGTGACAGTCTGTTGAGGAAAACGCCAAGTGCAATTCACCCCTGGTGAAAAGTCAGCAGAGCTATGGAATGGCTGAAAATCCTTTCACATTCACTTACACATTCATGGAAGCTGGTCCAAGAAATAGGGTGTAAATTGCAGCTGTGGACTTGTCAGGCCCTAGACAATTCCTAATTATGCGACCAGAAAGATTTCATTTTTCTGATGCAATCGCAGAAAGGATGAGTTTCGTCTGCAAAAGGAGTGCTCACATGAAATCTCACTGCACTTCCTTATCATTCAGATAATTGAATATTTGT